TGTGTAAGCATATATTTTATGTACTATTCATGTACTATTTTCAGACTGCCAGACTGTATGGGCGCAAAATTATCTCAGTTATATGCACATGAAACACTAACAATAATTTTTTTTCATCTTGGTGCTCACAATGAAGTTTCAATCTGTAGTTTACAAGATGCAGCTTTTCATCCACATGTATATCTTAACATAAATAATTTAGTACACAGTGAATGGTTAGAGCGCCAATTCTATTGTCAGATGCTCAGGGTTATTTTTTTTCCAGTGTACTTGAAAAATCAGAGTGAAACTACATTTTATTTGAAAAGAGGGGCATCACCAAAAGAGCAATTTGTGTCAGGTACTCCCTTTCCTTTCTCCATAATTTTCAAGTCATTCACATTTACCTCATGTTTCACATGGTGCATTTTTTCCTCATCTTTCACTGTTTTAGCAGGCAGCATTATAGAATCAGTATGATAACAGGACTCAATAATCAAACAAGTGCTTTTTATAACATGAATTTATGTCTACTAAAAATGATGAAAAGGTATATACTATTTTTAAATTTAGAAGAGATATCTATAAAAATCTTTTCTCAGGGGAAAACTCTTCAGAACAATGCCAAAGAAGAAAGTGCTCCAGCATTTCAAGCAAATTTCAGCTTAGGTTGTACAAATATAATATGCAAATGAGTTCCTTATTCATCAATTGTAGAATCAATAGTTATTTGCATCACTTAATTATTATTAAAAACAAATATTTTCATGATTTCAGAGAGAATTAATTCTATAAACTTCCACTAATTTAATAATTTTATTAAAGCTTACCGTTGCAATAATAAAAACTAACACAAACTGAAAAATAGAAAAGTAAAAAGAAAGAGTAAAAGGTGCTAAAAAGAAAGGAAAAAGAAGAAATAGGAAAAAATGAGTATAGGAAAGAAAAAGAAATATATAAGGAAGTCGCTTACCACCTTCATAACAACAAGTATAAACAATTTAATAACTTATTACCTTCTTTTAAAATTCAGCAAATTATTTATTCTTCCCAATCCCATTAATTTTCCATATACAAATTGTTAAAGCCTTATCATTACAATCTTGATGTCAGCAAAAGTCCATTAAGGGTTATCAGAGTTAATAACATATCTGTTTTAATTTGACCAAGACTGATGAAATAAACCAACTTTATATTCCTTTTACTTCTAATAAACTTAATCTAGTCTCTTCAAATAATGTACTGGAACTTCACTTCTTTTTAGTTTTCACTTCTTTGTCCCTTTTCACAAAATTCTTCAAAACTTTAGCAAGCTTGTTTTGTTACAGAAAATTATCCAGGTTATTCTCTTGGTTTGTTGCTTTTATGTCTCTTTTAGTTATTAGGACATCAACTGATTTCTTTTGTGTTCCCAGTATAACATCTTTTCCATTGCATTCTTGTAGCTTATCATTTTTAAGTACACTTTCATCTCAGTCTTCACATTATTAACTAGAACTTGTTCCTCTTGTATAATATATTTTCAACATAGTCTTATTTCAAATTTAGCCCCCTAATATCATAGTTTAATCATCCTTTTGATGTTTATTTTTAAAAAGTTGTTTAAGTTCTTAAACTTGTAACTAAAACGTCTTTCATTAAGAATTGACAGAAACTCATCTGTTGCAGTAAAACTTGTCAATCCAAAGGTTTCTAATAGCTAAATAGCAGTTTAGAAGCAATTTCCGATAATGTTTCAAAGGCACCACCATGGTTTGAGTAAGATGGCTATTCCCTTAACTCCCAAAGCTCTAAAACCATAGAAGATCACTATCTTATGGATTTCTTGTGATGAGCAGCTGTCTGGAATACTTGGTGGCAATCTCAAGTCCTTAGGTTTCAGAGACCTGGTCTTCATTCCACTGCAGTCATCAGCTCCCCTTTTTGTGGAAACATCTGCAGTCCACCATTTCTTCCCTGGCCTTATCTTATGTTAAAACCATAAGACTATTGAGATGACATTCATCTGAAAAGAAACATATTTTTAGTGACCGATTTTTCATTCACAATTTTCCACCCTTTTCAGTGAAGGATAGTTCCAACTTTTTTACCTTCATTCTCCCATTATTTATCTATATGCAGCTTTAAAAATCTGGGAAAAGATTGCCTTCAGGTTGACCTGCTTGTAAATAAGATATTACTAAGGTTACAGAATGTAATTTCATATACTATAGGATAAATTAATAATTCAGATGTATTAAATATATTTTGTATTCATACTGTAAATTGGATGGAAATAACTGTGAGAAAGAAACTAGTCACCAAAGCAATTCTGCAAATATTTATATTTGCTTGGTGCTATTATATGTAGGCTTTGTAGCAATTCGAAATTTCTTCTTGTTCAACCTAGGTCATAAATACAACCAAATTTTAAAACCTTATTTTTCATAAAGAATGTCTTTACGAAGCAATATTTTCATAGATAGTTTTGGATTTGAACATATAAATAAGTCAAATTAGGTTACAGTTCTGTCTAGAACTGTGGGATTAAGAAACTGACTTTTTTGTATAACAGGTATTTCACATTGTTATTACAGAAACACAACATTTCAATCAAAATATTTAGGCATCAATTAAGTGTTAGGATCTTTTCCACCATACAGTCTAAAAAGAAGTTCTATCAATTTCACTGGCTTCTGTAGTCCCTTGACTTATGACCACAACTGAGGTCAACATTTCTGTTGCTAAGCAATATAGTTACATTTTGTCCCATTTTATGACCTTTCTTGCCACAGTTGTTAAGTGAATCACTAGAGTAGTTAAATTAGTAGTAAAGTTGTTAAGTGAATCTGGCTTCCTCATTGACTTTGCTTGACAGAAGGTAGCAAAATGTGATCACATGACCCAGGACACTGCAACTGTCATAAATGCATGTACGTTGCCACATGCCCAAATTTTTATCATGTGATTGTGCAAATGCTGCACATCATGTAAAAAAAGGTCATAAATTATTTTTTTAGTGCCATTGTAACTTTGAACAGTCAGTAAACCTAAAGTTGAAAGTTGAGGACTACCTATATTGTAATTTCAGACCTGAAATGTTCTATTGAACATTTCTACCTGAGACTGACTTTTACTGCATTACTTCAGCAAATATTAAATTCTCCTTTCATAGTTACTTCAGAAAGCTGTTTTTGTTTAGACTGAAAAATGCCTTTGCTGTATGAAGTGGCTGGAAAAGGTATTATTCCTTTTTCCATTGCAGTGGCACCAAAATGTCGGCTGTCAATTAGCGATTAGAACTTAGTAATTCTAACATGCTTTTCCAAACTGAATGAGGATGGTGGTGTGGTTTTCCTCCTATGTCTTGATAAAAAGAAGATCGTGTAAAGGAATTTAAGAATGGTAAGATAAAGAAAGAACAATGGTAATGAAGGAGACTGTTGGTTGAATGTCTGAAATGAATGTAGTTGAATAAAACGTGAAGGGCAGAATGCATTTGAAGGTTGTTTTAACAAAATAGTGCTACTTGTGCAATGTCTAAGGAAAACTATCTGGAAGAAAATGACTGCTGCTTTCAACATAGATGACCCTATTACAAGTTCTTGACTGAAATCTGAAGTGATCCTTTTATAGACTGATAGAATTGAAAGACAGCAAACCTAGCTAAGACAGTCTGGGAATTGCACTTCATGTGTATTGCACATAGCAAAGATATAATTGTATGAGGATTGCAAGAATATATAATAAACTGTCCTTTAAGAAGCAACCTTTTTAAGCAAACAAGCAAGGATTTGTATATTTTTTGAATGTTATAACAAATAAAATGTATTTTTCAGTAAACAATGTTATGAACAACCTGTCCGTATTCTGTTTGGATTATGTAAAAATATTGAATTAGAAATCTATTAATCTGTAATGCGGGGGGGGGATATAAAATATATTGTTATGCAAAATAAAGAATAAACTCATATATAAATCAATTAAGATTCACCATCTCTTCACCAAGGGGAACTAAAAAACATTAACATTATTCTCCATTTCTTAAAATATTGACTATTTGTTAACGCAATGCATCCTCTGCCATGCCTTTAATAAAGGCAGAATAGATAAAGAAACCACAAAAGTGAGAAATGAGTGCCAAGGAATTAATTGTATAATTATGAATTATAATTTACTCTGTTTTCTGAAAAGAACACATAGTTGCTGCTTATGCTATCCTTCCAAAGGGCAGTTGCACTAGCTTAGTAAGGGTCTCTTGAACCTCCAATGGCCTTAAGGTCTTTTACAGGTCCTTGAAAGATATATGTTGCAATGATGCAGAAGGTGAAGTGGCTTATGGGTAAACAAAGATTTGCAAAGGCTCTCTGTTGAGCACAAAACTAGCTACAAAGATTGAACAGTTGCCTCAAATTTAGAAGAGGCTGTTTTGAGCATCTTGGAAATACTTGGAGCTCAAAAAAAGATGATAAAATGCAACTCTTCCAAACTGCTCCACAGCTATTTTGCATTTACAAGAAGTATTTCATATTAAATGGGCATTAAAACTGGAGGTTTCAAATCCAGTTTCTGTATCACTGGACATTAATTAGCCACAATGTTTTCTTTCTTTCTTTTTAAGTAGTAGATAGTAAGGACAGCTCTTGCCTCTGATTTCAAGATTGTCCTTTTCTAGTGTACCTTCTGAAAACAAACAACATAAAATAATGAGAAACAAAAGGGTAACATTTTTCCTATTTATTTCATAGGTCCCAAATGAATATAATATCTTGAAACAGATATCAAAAAGCATAAAATCATCCACCTGTTGAACTGACTTTTAGGCATGATTAATGCCAATGCCCAAATTTAGCAGCTCCATACAGGCCAGTGTTACTGGTAGCATTAAGCTATCCATTGAGAATAGTTTCATTCATTTATTCCACTGCTTTATATTCAAGGAAATGCAGTAAAGCACAACATGAAATGAAGACCAACATCAGTTTGATGCCTCTAAAATCACAGTAATATTTAGTTGATCAATCAAGATATAATGTGTTGCTCACGTAACCAATAAAAAGTTTACACATAAATACTATTGCTGTAACTTCTATGGTCATCATCAAAAGAACTCTAATGTTCTATATTACTTAGTGAACTTTGTCACTATGTGGAGATCAAATCCATCTCACTGATCAAAGTTCAGTGCTATTATTTTTAAATAATCTGAAATCTTGTGGCCAACATATATAGCAAATATAAATAATATAAATTAAATCACACTTACTAAATAAAAGCTTCAATATTTTGGGTGGATCAGATATATATTTATTATTATTACACAGTAGCAATAAAAACATTTAGTCACTTCTGAAAAAATTTGGCCAGTGGAGTGTTTGATAATTATGTGGGAAGAAAATATGCTAAGAACAAATTCTAAGCTTTCCTAATACCTAGTTAGGAACTTGCGAAACCCTCGTGAAAAATTTGTTTTCAAAAAGGTAAGTCATAAGATACAATCCTACAACTTTAACTAAATCCACCAGATGTATATGTAAACAGAGTGCAGATCTGCTTCTATTATTTCAAAATTATTTACTTTTGAAATAAATAAATGAAATAAATTTGTATAGTGCAATATTAATGCAATATTAGGGATTTTCAGTTCAATGTATAGTGAAGGATGTGTGTTTGTGTTTATTTTCATAGTCATAATTTTTTTGTACACTGAAGGTGGTTATTTAATTTCATTGTATGAGTTGCAAAGACATAAAGTAAACTAATTTATTGTTTACCAAATAGGTCAACATAGCACCTGCAGAGAAGAGGCAATATACAGTATGCTTACAAATGTGTTTTTTATAATTTTTCCAATAACTACAACACTGATCATATGGTTTTTATGGCTAAAATGGAACAGACATAGTAGGAAGAAATGGCCAGATACTCTGGTAAGGTATGCCAACTATAGGTATGCAAAAACACTCAGTAGAACAGAAATGCTTAATAATGGTTATGACTATGTCTTACTGGCTATGCCACTACATATGTGGAAGGCCATTTCCCATGCCCTCAGCATCGACTTACACTGACCTTCACAGCAGAACAGGGATTTAAAGTACAGTAGGAGGTAGCAGTGTATGGTCTACAAACCCGTCCATAGCACTAAACCATTCTTTTTTTGAGTACCTGAATTCTGAAATGAAAATTTGGCAGTTTCCAGCTGAAATTGGCATAGTTCTGTGTATAGGTATGAAAGAGACTAAAATTACTGCTAACAGTTTAAAACTTTTATTATGTGGTGAAGACTATAATATTAAAAATTCTACCCTTCCTCCCCACTTTAAAATCTAGCCCTAGTGATTTACATGATGTTATCTGCACGTTGTAGTCTTATCTATCAAAATCCCTCCTTAACCTTTGCTACCTATTGAAGTTTGATTGCACCTGTTATAATGGGCAGTTTAGTGTTTATAGGCTGGATTTGCTCAGCAAGCTAATTTAGAATAAAAAGGGTTAATAGTTTGTAGTCTGCATGTTATAAGAAACTCACTAGTGACTTAATGTTGTATGAGCCATAATATGATTTAATTGGGAGAGGCATTATATAAACTGTTCTTTTGTTAATCAAGATCTAGAACATAGCTTGTTGTATGAACTCAGTTGCAAAGCTCCAAAAGAGAATCCAAAAAAATTCAAGACTTTGGCAGAAAAACAGTAACAGTACTGGATCATGGATTTTTTTTTAAGTTACAACCAAACCAAAATAATAAAACAGAAAATCTGTACCAAGACAATATATATATACTGTACAATCTCACATGAGAGGAAACTGCAATGTTAGTGGAGTCTAGTCATCTTCAGACACTCCTTGAATGTCTAAGCACTCCTTAATCCAGAGATTTTGTTTTTTTATTCATTTCACTATCAGTTTTGAAATGAGAATTTGAGGGCAATTCCACATAAGGTAGTTTTATTAGAAAGGGTGGGAGAAGGAAGCCAACAACAATTTTTACATTACATAGATGGATTAATTTAAAGCTAATTGTATTTAGCACTTCCCAAACTAGGGAGGGTACATTTTCCACTCAAGTAAAAAATTACAAATCCTTACATCATATTGTGGTATAGGCATCCATTTCCAGCCTAGCATATGGAAAATATGATTATAAAGCCATAATAAACTGAGAAAGGAAAAAAAAAACATTCTATTCTTGATCTCTGATTTTCTCCTGGTTTCTGTTCCAGTTTTGTGATGAATGACCATCACATTGTTCCTTGAAGCATATAAGATCTTGACAAACCATCATCTTGGACTATGTTTGTTTACACTGGAAACAGGTTTTGACTTATAGGGAGGAAGATTAATGTTCTCAACTCTATTGTCTTCCCACCATATGCATATGAAAGTTAAAATAAAGATAAATTATGAACGCATGAGTTGTTAACTTAAATCTTAGCTGCAATCTTAAAATGCATTTACTAATGAGTAAGACTAGCCGAATACTTCTGAAAAATTGTACCCAATATTCTTTAACAGGTAAATAGTATCTAAAATATATTCTAGTTAAAAAACCATCTGCTGAAACCATTAAGATGAATGAGACTTCAAAGAAATATATCTACACATTGTATTAAGACTTGCAAAAGGAACATGTTTTGGCTGAATTTTGCTAATAACCCTTTAAGCAATTTTAGCACAGAACATTTTTTTTATTTTTTATGGCAGCCACTTTATTATGGTTCCATTAAAGTTATGATTTCTCAGTGTAAAATAGCTGAGAAGGGCAATCTAAATAAAATTTTAAATAGTGTTTGTTTTATTCAGTAATTTTTAAGAACTCCCATGATGAACATTTGTATGGTTTAAGAAACAATACATATTGTTTTGACTTGTAACACCAAATGATAAATATGAGAAAAGGAAACTTCTGACTAGATTAATTGCAACTTTTTTCTTTTGTTGTTTAAATGTTTCAAATTTCGGTTTGTTTTTCATTGTAAAACTCTGTTAGCATTTTTTTCAGTTTCTGTTATTATCAAAGTTGATAAAGTTATTTTTAAAATTTTACAATAAAATTTGCATTTTAATTTGTATGTATTTACAATGAAATGTAATGCACATTTCTTTGGACATATTTCTTTGCAAATTTGCCTAAAATGCATAGCTTTCTCAAGCAATTTCCCTAGCGTGGACAGCTAGAAAAGTTTGCAATCAAGAATTGTATAAGCTCTTCAGTGAACCCTCTGACTCTAAAGAAAATACACTAGCAGCTCTAAAATTACTGAAATGGCTGTTGAAATTGCTGTGAGGTGCAGAGAGGTAAAACAACACATATAGTATTATTTATTTTTCTGTCCAAGGCTAACAATTTTGAATGGGGTGTAGGGAGTAATTATAAATTACAGAAGACAGTGAGGAACTGATTAAAACTTCAGTTCCATCAAGTATCTCACCCCCAAGTTATTTTATCTCTTAAATAACAGAAAATGCTCTTAAGAGATCCAAGCAGAATTATGTCCTATGACCTCTAATGGTCTTAAATGAATATCTGGATTTGAAATAAGTTGTATTCCTAGCATGTTACAAACAAACCCAAAATAAATCTTTTAAATATATGTAAATATGTAAACATGGTGCAGAAGACTCAATCCTGGGCCTCTTAAAGTTCGATACAACAAAGTTCTCACAGAGTTGTAAATTATAGGTTTAGGCTCTAAACGAAGGTAGCAAAACTTGAAGCCGGAATCAGCTAGGTTTTTGGTGAAATGCAAGATCAGGTGCCTATTTCAAAACCAAGATTCAGAAAGATCAGCTTGGTCACTGTAAACTTCCCTGCACATGTTGGAGTTTTCTTGGTGAAGGGGATATTCAGAACCTGCCAACAAGTTCACTTTTCTTTTTCGAGAGATATATGGCTTTCCAGAAGGAAGACTTTCATATTTTGTTAGGTATTGCCTGCAAAAAATAGTAGTAATATGATTATACTATATTACTTGAGCAATAGCATGTTATAATCTTAGGAATAATTCTTAATGACATACACATTTGGAACAGATCGTGTTTTAAGTTTTCCTTATCCATAATTTTCCAGAGCAAAGTTGAATAAAAATGAATGCAACACATGTCAATGGTACTTTTCCTTGAACACAATGTCAGATGCTGTTGAAAGCCAATCTTTGGGAAAACTTGATTATTGAGAACTTCCTTGTGTAGATCAAGGCCAAAGTCAGGTGTAATAGGAACAATATTACTGGTGAAGGTGAGATGTTTAAAAATAATCCATGCTTACATTCAAGCGATCTATAGTGGTATCTTTCAGATCTTCATATGAATGCATGAGGGCTGGAGAGTGATGTGTACATTTTGACTACCAGCTCAGAAGAATGTAGCCTTTAATTTTAAAAAAAATCCTCAAAAACTTTCCTCACAACAGAGAGTGGCAATGTGGTTCCTCCAGAAAGTAGGTATTTTTTAATCTCATTAGATTATAATAATCTTCTGTGAGAACTACGGAATCTCTTCTGTGAAGAAAACTCTCTTCTATAAAATCTCAAATACCTCTCAAAATAAGTGTACAAACACGTGAAATTATGAGATTTAGTGTCCTTTTGGAAGTAGTCTTTAAGGATACTTAGACCATCACAATGGCATCTGAATAATTTGCTGATCACTAATTTGCTGATCTACAACTGATTATCTACAGTTGTAGATAATTCTCATTTAATGGTCACTTGTTCAGCAACAGTTCAAACTTGCAATGGCGCTGAATGAATGGTTCTTATGACTAGCCCTCATAGTTCTGGCCATGATAGCCTCTCTAGATATATTAGCATTTGTGATCTTTGTCAGCTTCCAACAAGCAAAGCCAATGTGGAAGCCATTCAGTTCTCCTGAAATTAATTCCTTATTAACTTCTATTTCTCTTTTTCTGTCCTGAGAAGTTAAAATTTACCACTAGCTTCTTCCAGAAAATGAATGGTACCAGTACAGCCTACATTATTCATCTTCTTGATATGTATCTGTCATACATCTTTGAAGTTCAATTGATCTTTAGCATCATACAGTACAGTGATAGGAGTTTATGTGTTTTGGGAAGTATAAAAAAGAAAATATTTGATTCAGTCAACTAATTCCAAGGTAGTCAGATTTAGTCTTAAACAGATTCCATTTTGCATAGAGTTAAACTAATTTCCTCAATCAATCTGTCTTTTCCTGAAACTGATGACCTTGGTTAACTAATCTATGCCTCTCGGAGATCAAAAATCTCTCTAGATTATACCTCTAAGGATGGTGGTGAACATTTTATGGAAGATTGATGTCTTTCCTAAACTTGCCTATCATGACACCAATCTTGATCATACCATGTTTGCTTTTTCCCTCACTTTGCTTGGAGAAAAAAAAGTGCAATCTCCTTTGCAATGCTGAAGGGGTTGTAAAAATTGCCACTGTGGTATATTGATCATACACTGCTAGAATACAGTGATAAGTCTATCAGAGAGAAAGTTGGAATCTGGATTGGTAATGAAATTAGGACAATCAACAACTATTAATTAGGGACTAATTTAAGGGTCATCCAACCTCCTATATAAATTGCACTCTAATTTCTTATTTATTTGACACATAATGATCTTCTCCAGAATCAGAAAGATGCATTAAAATGCTAGGCAGATCAATAAATATTTCTAGTTGTTTCCTACCTAAATGGACTTTCGGTTTTATCCATCTGCATGCACACTAAAAATGGGTATTGCGAAAATTTCACTGTGGTGACAAAATCCAACATTGCTTCGATTTCACTAGTGGTTTCCAGGCCAGTGTTCACAAACATAGCGTCCACAACGAAATTACCAACCATAGCTGCAGCTCCCCTGAAACAAAAGAGGAGTGAAAAGAAAACAAGTGGTCAAAAATTGAATATTATATTGGAATAATATCTCCTCCAATGGGTAACTTTTAGACAAATTGTTCTGTATAAAAATCTCATTTCACATTGGCTTCCCTGGCTGCACCTCTATATTACTGATTCTTCCTAGCAGTCAAACATTGATGTTGCTAAGGATAGGAGAAGAAAAAGAAAAATGGCTGTATAGTTTAAACATTAATTCCAGATGTTTCAGGAATTCAAACCTTGGACAGGACAGGAATGATAAATCCAATTCCCTACATTTTGCTGAATGACAAATTACAACATTCCTCACTCTAGCCTTCTGGTTGTGATCACTGAACATAGTAATGTCACAACTGGAAAAATATGGGCTCACCCCAAGAGTTCTCAGGTATTGTTCCACTAATTATTTTACTCAAAGCTGATAAGGGCAATACACAAGTTTTATTCAACACCTGATAAAGACAATACACAAGTTTGAGCTATCAAAGGTACAAGTAACAGTTTTTACTATTTTGTGGTTCATCTGATCCATGGAGGGAAAATGATAAAACCTTGCCATGAACACCATATAAACATCAATTGTGAGTTGACAGTCACGTGGAGGAAAGTTTAACTTCACCTTCACATGACTATCAGCTTGCAACTGAAGTTGGGATGCAAGTATGCAATGCAGGGTTTGTGTCGTGTTGATACAATAGACATTTCAAGTTTTCACTATCACAGTTTATACCGGCTGTTTCAACTATGGTTTTTAAAATCAGATAGAAAAAGAATCTTCTGCAGAAAAACTAAAGTTACATTTTCTCCATTTTCCACTTGTTTTCATACAACTACTGTTTCAACTAAGGGTCTAAGTTTTTAAAATGTTTTAAAATTGTATTCTTCTTCTTCTTGTGCCTTATCCATCATTGAATGTTGGCAATCCTATTTTTATCAACAGCCACATGAAAAAGTACTGTTGAGTTTTACCTAGACCAGTCCCTTAGATTTTGATTTAAAATTGTATACTCTAACTAAATTTAAAATCCCTCATGTTGATGATGAAATTTAATATCTCCATCAAGAACTAAATTAGATGTCTCACCGGTTTTTAACTTTTGTTTTGGATTCTCTGTACCAAAGGCTGAATTCCATTCCTCCTGATACATCGATAGTCATACCTCCCTTGAATTCAGCACTGCAAATCAGCCCAGATTGCAGCTGGATAGCCTAAGTAAAAAAAAAAAAAGAACACATATAATATTTCTTGCTTATCTAGTAAATGTTTAGATTAGTAATGTTTTAGGAGGACACAAATACTTTCTGTCTCTACTTCTCAGACTCCCATTCTGAGTTTTCCCTTTGGTGTAAAGAAAAATCTCTCCATTCCATGCAACTGGGCTACTCAACCAGATAAGAACAGAAGATCCATAGATGAAGCTTACAGTGCAGGGCAGCTACACAGAGAGTCACTTCAAAGTACATTTTTTAATAACAGAAACTGTTCTTGAGACAGTTGTTTCATGTTGCACAGAAATGAAACATCTATCCCCTCAGCACTATTCATGCAAGTTCTTTTTGATATTTCTGGTCCACTAAATCAAATAAATAGGTTTCCAGGACATACATTTCACAGTACATACCTGTGAGAAATCCAACAGAAGGACGAGCCCTTTCACTACGCTAATGGGGTCTCCAGTGGCCGAGAACATTTTAGACATTAAATCACTATATCCTTGGAAAAAGGTAACTGGCCGGAGTTGAACATCAAGCATGATTGCTGACAAACCAGCAAAGGAGTCAAGATTTTCTTCTCCTTCATCTGCAGATGTAGCTATAATAGATTCCAGACCTTGAGCTTCAATTACCACCTAAAAGAAAGCAACAACACACAGCACATGGGAAAATAAATATGTGCATGCAAGGACATTTTGTTCTAAATTCAACAAGATTGTCATATTATTCCTCTCTTGTTCACTTTCTTACAACTGAGAAGCGGCGCAAGGCTTTTCTAAGATAACTGCTACATTGAAAAGGAAAGGAGACAACTACCATCAAAGGGCAGGATGGGAGGGTGGGAGGAGAATAGGTGAAAGCTACAGAAGGGGAGATTTTGGTCAATGTAGAGAATATTTTATGGAAGCTCTTGTTTGACAAGGAAGTAGACTTTCTTAGATGTCCTATAAATCTATTGGAGGGATTTATACAAATTATTTTAGTCATGCATCAAATACTACAGAGTCTTTAATGACAAGGGTTGGGTGTAAATGATCGCCAGATCCTTTCTCATTCTATGATTCTACCAAAATTTGATAGACATAGTTGGACATTCAAGGTAATAAAAACTGCAGCTAGTCAACTTCTCATAATTATGAAAGATGCAGAAACTCTTTTCCCACCTGGCCAATTAACAGTATTTTAAAGGTAAAAAGTAGGGAATAGAAAATGATGGAGTTGCTGTTACAATAAACCCTAAGCTACGCCATCGAAGGAAGCTAAGCGCACACAGATTCAGGTTCAATCTGAAACATCACCACTCAAATATCTGGATGATGAGCAGGACCTTTAACACTGTAATGAATTAAGAGGACAACAGTAAGCTGTTCATCTTCCAAACCACTTTTATGACTAGAAGAGAGGTATTATGCTTCTGCGTGCATAAGGTTTAAAGCAATTCTGAACCATTTGCACAAAAAGCATGGCCCTAAACAATAGTTTGATGTAATTTAAGGCAATTTTCTTTTTTTAAAAAAAAAAATTTTTTTTATTGTTTTTTAACATACAAAACACAACGACAAAACATAAAAGTATCAGCTCCCCCATATTTTTGTACACACAGTAAGTCGGTTGGTCCATCAGTTTTGTGCATTCACCTCATAAAGGCAATTTTCTATGGTCAAGTTGTATATGACTCCAGCTGCTGGCTAGGCTCTTTTCTGATGTTTTTATTTTAATAGTGCATGAGACATACCTGGCTGGCATGAAGTTGAGCAAGTTTATTGAAAAGAAAGATATTCATGTTGCTTCTTCTTAAGATGCCCGAACCAGAGTACAGTATATCAAGGCTATATGTAGACGATAGAACTTGGTCACCTTAATTAAACAGAGTTACATGTTGTAGTTACAATTTTGGAAAAACAATCAAGAAATGCAAATATAATGTAATATTAATTTTGGTCATCACATACGTGTTAAGTAACCAGAGAAGGCCGAAGAAGAACCCATTTTTGAAAATCGGTCATAATTATGAATCAATATGTCCTTCAGAACTTTACGGATCATTTTGCTGAAAAACAAACATTTTATTTCTATTGGAGAAGAAAACATTTTCCCTGTACAATAAAATACCAAAAAGATACATTTTATAATGGCATTACATTTTTATTTGAGCTGAAATCCATACTAAGAACCTTCCTTGGAGAAAAGATATTATTTAAGGAATTAATCTGATTAAAGAGATATGGCTGTTTGCTGAAAAATACAGTAAAATAATTTCAGCCTTAAAAACTTCTACTTCTCTATGCACATCGTTATGCCACCAATTGATGGCTCAAATTCTATAGTTCAGCCTACATGAGAATTGTACTTATGTTGAGTAATTCTTCTGTAGTGTCAATCTGTTTTCTCTGTGTTCACAATGAAACACAAACCTGCCAACCACATTTAGACTAATGTATTGTCAAATGTACCCCATTTTGTTACTATTGTGTAAACCCCCAAAATTGGTTAATTTTTTTAAACCCATCACAGTAAGCATACTGCACTAACACAATCATTCCATCAGAGAACTGAGTTAGCATTTTGCTTGCCTTAATGTAGATGTCTTGATTAAAAAAAATTCTGATGAGTAAAGCTATCTTAACTTTTCTAGTCATATTCCTCCCACCCCTACTACTACTACTATTACTACATCAAAAAAAAAAATTTAAGTGTTAAATCATTGCAAGATAAAGATCTCCTACTTGAACAGGAGGCTAGACTAGAAAACCTCCAAGGTCCCTTCCAACTCTGTTATTCTGTTAAGAAAGGAACAGGAAATACGTACATACGACTGTTAGTCAGTGCACTTTTAAGCTCTTTTTAAAAAAAACTATGCTTTTTATCCCAGCATAAATGTGGCGGAGGTGTTATGAATCCCATTGTACAAGAGTAATATTTGTGGAGCAGTCCTATTGCAGCATGGTTACACAAATAACAATATTTGATATACCTGGCAGGCATTTCAAAACGTAGTATGTCCTGGACTAGTGAAAGCATGTACTTATTCATTTCCAGTGGCAGCTCTCCAATAGAGAGGAGGAGGTTTTTAACTTCCATGAAGGACGGGTTGCTGTTGAAGATAATAGCAGCAGCTGTGGTTCGTACAGTCTTCTCATGAACTTTATAATTCTGGTGATAAATCCTGTTCATGGTTTTTTTCACCTAGTAGAAATATAATCTGGTCAATTCCACTGAATAGCTGACAGAAGAAGAGAAGAAAGGAAAGAAAGCCTATCGCCCATAAATGAGATCAGGTAGATTTTTTAAAAACTTCAGATGCTATACCTCCTGTGTACTGGGATGGCATCAACATTCAAATGATTGTGTCAGGATCAATAATTACCAAGGAATTTGACCTATTCCTCCCAATTCTCTTAAACTGGAGGAAAAATAGTGAATTTTGGTTAACATATACCTTACTAGGTGGTGGCAGAAAATATTGAGATATTATAGATCATGCATCAAACTTGAAAGTTATAGGATTAATTGCTAGATAACTTAGCAATTTGAGTTCAAACCTCATTTCTTTTTCACCTTTCTGTGTATTGAACTTCACCTCGGATCATACAGTATGTTCATATTTGTTGCGACAGATACATGGAAAGACCAAAACATGGTTCTTCTCCCAAAATGTTAAATATATTTCTGCCCATATCCAGAGCAATCAATGAGACACCCTTTTCTAACCTTAAAGATATATTGGATAACAACTCCCACTATTTCTAGCTAATGGAATTTGTAACCTAACACACCTGGAATGTATATGAGAATTACTTCTCAGATAAAAGTGTTTCAGTTATAAAAACAATGAATACACAGAAATTCTTCTGTCACAAAAGAGGAAGGCATCCGTATCTTTTCACAGAATATGCAGAAATGGACAAGAACTGAATTTAAATTTGCCTGTATCTAAGTTTTTCATAATCATCAGTGGATTTCTATTTCTTTTCTTCTGATAAATGCTTCTTTTACCTTTTACCTTCTGTTTAATAAATGTTTACCTTCCTTCTAATAGAATTATCAGAGATATTTGATTCTAAATCTTTGGATAAAAATGTTTCCATCCAGTTTACAAGAAAGAAAATCTGAAAGTAAGAAAGGTGTTCAAGTATTACATTGCCTGAAGCTTTTCCAAGTTTGGATGTAGAAAATTTTAAAACCAAGAATTGGCAATATGGGACCTGCATAATCCAGACAGCGTATGTAAACAACTCAAGATACATTAAAATTACATTTTTAATTGTAAGAATTTTTAACTCTCACATGAAATCACCAGAATTCTATAAGGTTTCATATCTCAAGATTTTATCATTTTTAAAATATGATGAGCCAGCCAAATTTGGGGTAATTTTCTGGAAGGGCAGAATGACAGCTGGTGCTTAAAATGGTTGCTGATGTAAAAAAAAAACTTAAAAGGTATACCCATCATTCTCTTGAACTTTGCATGAGAATGCCATAATCTTTGTGGGTTCTTTGGTAAAATACACATATGTATTTACAACTTTTTCTTCTAAATGAAGGACCATCAGATAAGGGGGCATTATCCAAAACTCCTAAAAAACCTTGCGTACTTTTTATTTACCTCAGTAGTTATGGAAGAATGATCATATCTCTGTAGAGCAGTAACAGCGATGTTGCTGATAGGTCCTTCTCCTGACTCAGCGAATTTCAGCAGCACAGGAACAGCTTCTGGCAAAAGGGCATTTTTCAGTGCCAAAAGGAACATCTTCACATCATCAGCTTTATCTGCTCTGTTCATGCCTTGGAATATCAGTTTCTTGGCTTCTACAACAGCCTGGAAAGAATCCACCCCACTATATTAATACTGCACCAAAGAGAACCTAGGGGAACCTACTGTAGTAAAAGGAAGAGAAATTTTTAAAGAAAACTATGAATCAAGAAAAATGTATAGGTAGTCCTCGACTTATGACCACAATTGAGACTAAGTTTCTGTTGCTAAGCAAGGCAGTTGTTAAGGGAGCTGTTCCCCATTTTATGACTTTCCTTGCCACAACTATTAAGTGAATTGGGCTTCCCCATTGACTTTGCTTGTCAAAAGGTCACAAAAGGGGATCACACTGCAACCATCATAAATACATGCCAGTTGCCAAGCATCCAAATTTTGATCACGTGACCGTGGGGACACTGCAACAGCTGCAAGTGTGAAAAACAGTTATGTCACTTTTTTCGGTGTCATTTTCATTTTGAATAGTCATTAAAAGAATGGTTGTAAGTCAAGGACTACCTATATTACACTTTATTACAAGTCATCCATCAGGTTTTCTTCTTGGATTTGATGAATCTAATAAAGCAGGGGTGTCAAACTCAATTTCATTGAGGGCTGCATCAAGGTTGTGTTTGACCTCGGGGAGCCAGGGAGGGTGGCATGGCCAGGGTGGGCAGGTCCAGTTTGACATCACTCATTGAGGCTCCATTTTCAGCCACAACGGCCTCCTGCAGCCCTTTGCCAGTGAAAATGGAGCCTGGGGGGCACATGTGGCCTCCCTGGGCTCTGTTTCCACTGGCAGAGGGCTGCAGGAGGCCAGCACGCTCAAAAACAGAGCCTGGGCAGGTGGTGCACGGCCTTCTCCCTGAGCTCTGTTTTTGCTGGCAGAGGCATCAGTCCTTCACTGTTTCCAGGGTGGCCCCATGGGCCAGATATAAGCACCCCATGGGCCGGATTTAGCCTGCAGCCTTGAGTTTGACATTCCTCTAATAAAGTATTTGATCAAAATATTATGTATATGAAATTAATTATGATTTAAGCCTTTGGGCAGGAGTTCACTGGAAAGCATCATATTGGTCTATTCTTCAGGGTTTTATGGGCAAATCTTTTTCTGTTAAGGACTGTATTTCCTCAAGAGTCTTTGGCAAGGACCTACATAATGGGGAGGTTTCATAGTATGTGGAAATGCCATAAGGAGATAGGAGAAGAGCTTCATCTCTTCCTTTTATTCTCTTTCTAACAACCCCTTCTCTTTTCCAAATAGCAGCTAATGGAAAAAGGGCAAAAACTCTTTGCAGAAGTTGAAGTGATTTTGTGCAGAGGGCTTTGGAAATTACTCCAACAGCCACATGTGGCTTGCAGATTGTCTTTATCTAATTTGGGATGGGAGTAGGGGAGGTGAAGCAAGCATCTGTGAGCTATTTTAAGAGCAAAATACTATTGTGGCTGCTAATATGGGCCTTATATATATATAGCCTAGATAGCATACCATTGTACTCTGCAGTATATGGAAGTGGCACACTCCCTCACCCAGTGACCGTGCTATCCTTTCCTGGGTGGATAACATTACAGCAGTAGCCAAGCAAAGAAAACAGAAAGCAGAAGGAGGCTGACACAAGTAGAAGAGAATAGGGATAAGAAATAATAAAGGAGTGGGGAAAACAATATAATAATTATTTGGAACATAATTCTTAAGGGGCATAAACTGAATAAAGGAAAGGGAAATTGTCAGAATCACATAGAAGGAAAAGTTTTTTTCAAGCAAACTGGAACTTAATAATTGGAGTCAGTAATACTCAGAGGAACTTAAATGAAATTTCACATTTGCACTAAGTGCATACAGGTAGTCTTCAACTTACACCTGTAGCGGAACCTGCTCATTTTGGCTGTAAGTCATGACAGTCATATAATTTTATTATCTTTTTTTGTGGCAGTCTTTAAACAAACCAACCATTTGCTCAGGGCATATTTTTGCCAAGAACTGGAAGTAAATGCTGTTTTTTAGCAAAACCGTTGTAAAATAGTTGTGATTGTGGGATGCCTAAACTAGCCATAACTGTGGCCTGATTGCCAAGCTCTTGAAGTTCACTCATGTGAACACAGGGGGTTGTTCATCAGAACTTTGAATCTGGGTTGTAAGTAGCCTCCAGGAAGGTCCACTGTAACTTCTAACAGTTGCTAAGGTCTACCTGTATTGCATTAGTTTGTCATGAGCTCTTGTAGGAAATTAGAAAACACTTACAGGCAATTTGCAGCCTCCAATGTTGCACAGTTTTCTGATGAGTGCGCCAGCAATAATAATAACCATTTCTCTGATTTCATTGTTACCAATTGGACTCCTGAATTTATTCTGTTGTATTTAAAAAAAAGTCAAGTGTCAGCATTGGCCCATTAAATCTAACATTTAAAAATATCTATAATCCCTTTGGGGGTTTCGCACAAATGTTTTTCTGAAATTTGGCTTACACAAAGCTCGCATGACCTAACCCTACTGGTTTTCTCTAAAGCTTCAAAGATTTGGTTCTGCCAAATCTGCCAAACTTGGGACCTGAGTATGTAGTTGAGCCCATATCATGGCTGATTGCGCTGTTTGCTTAGTTTTATCTAAGTTGCTATATTATTTCTTATTTGTTGTTTTGTTATCTTTTGATTGTGTTTTGATTTCCTAGAAGCCACCAAGAGATATCTGGGATGGGTGTTCATATAAATTGAATGAATTAGTAAAAAAAATAAATGATACTAATCTCTCAAAGAACTGTTCCAAGTCCTGTTTTGTGACTGGAGGGAACAATGCTCCTTATTCAAAAAGGATCAGCCTACCTACCATCGTGCTGTGCAACACACAATATTTTATCAAATATAAAATAGCCAGCAATTTGCAAAAAAATATTCTCATGAAGAATTGGAGCAGTTTTGCTGAATGGGAAAGGATCAATGATGGATTGGTATCCATCTCTTCAAGAGGAAACCACCAGATCTGCAGCCTCATAGAGCAACTTTTGGCTATCATGTTTTTAATTAAGAATCAGGAGAGAAAAAACAATCAGCATTGCTGATATATGAAAGGCAGGGAAATATAAGCTTAACTTTCCCATTCATAACTTTGAATAAGCATCTCTTTCCCTCCACATTAAAATTAGCAGTGAAGGGGAGAAAAATCCCATTGTGGCACCCCTCAAACATTTTTCTTAGTGAAAATGTATGCCAGGAAGAAGAGGAATTTTTGCAATATTTTTATTTGCATTTTCCCTAATAGTACTGATTTTTTTGAATTCCAAATGCACTTATTTAGCTTTATTCATAAAGTCTTTGTTTTTACTTTATTATTTTTACCATGTTGCTAATAGTACTAAGTGCATCCCAAACCAAAGGCTGTGTCAAAAGCTAGTCTCCTTTGATTCAAAGAAGCTCACTTCAAGATGACTTTCAAAAGCTCATGTTCATCTCTCCAGAAAAGGGTGTTTCTCAGAAAAAGAAAAACATGGTCTTAAAAACTGTGCTATAGTCACATTTCCTTGACTGCTCTGGGTAACTTACAATTAAAGATCTGAGTAATAACTCATTGGGATGAGAAGTGAAACCAGAAGCATAGAGGAATCGTTCCTGAAGGAGAGATCCACTCTTGTTCTTGAAATCCAGAAAATCTAACATCGCTTCTAGAGAGGCTGAAGTATGTGCGGAGGCTACCGCGTCAACTAGTTGGGGACTGTATGGAGGCCAAGCAGAGAAATAAAAAGTTAGTAATTATTTAAAACACATTGCTGTTGCTGTGTCTTCTTGCATTTTTGATGAATATTTTGATTCAGATAGTCCTTGCTTACTGACCATAGTTGCAACAGCATTAAATAAAAAGATTGGTCCTTGTGGTTGTGCCTGTTGTAGCTTGTCATGTCCCAACATAAGATCTTTATATACTGTTGTTGCTCTCTAGCCTCATCTAGTGGCCAGAGGGACAAATACAAAGTATATTGTTTGAAGCTCACCCAACCCATTTTACCCATCAGCCCACACTCTCAAACCAAGTGGGAAACCTTCCTTTAGCATTTGGAGAAGACAGGAGCACAAAGAAGCATCCATCTTAATCTGTGTCATCCAAGGACAAACCCACATCCCACACAGAGCATTGTTGGTGAGATTTAAATTGCTTGTATTTATTAATTGTTATGTTCAGCAGTGACTTAATACTGTCTATCTTGTATTTGGTTCTCATTGTATGTATCCCTATTTTCTCCAGTTTCACCATATCCTATTCTTTCAATAAAACATTCAGATCTATGCATAGGGTCTGTTTTATTGGAGGATAGGTGGATTTAGCTGCATGTCGAGCTACACACAGACTAACATGTAGTGGAGGCAGAACCCTCACGCCCTATTATGAGATCCCAATTCAGATGCTAAGCAACTATCTCATAATTACAATGATTGCTGTGTTCCACTGTCACAATTGTCATTTGCAACCTTCCCTCCAGCTTCTGTCAAGCAAAGTCAATGGGAGAGCTGGCAGGAGTTATAAATAGTGATTTTGTGACATCTACATGACTGACTGACAGAGTTGCCAGTCTCAATTGCCATTTTTATGCTAGGACTACCTCTCCCTGGATAATGTCTCATGTTACTACTATTCAATTTGAACAGCTACACAACAGGTTTGGGCAATGCTAGCTTCCATTAAAAAAAAAACCGCAGACAATGCTAGCTGGCAGCAAAATGTTAGCATTGTTCTGGGTCTCTTTTCTGCCATCTACTAATTTTGCGTATTTTTTGCAATTCAAAATTACTTGAGCCTAAAGTTAGATCTGAAACCAGGATAATAAGGCCTGACTAACAAGGAAATTATTTGATGATAATAATATTAGCTGGCTTGTTAGTTATTTGTTCATGGCTTACCCAGGAAAAAACAAAGGGACCTCTGATCTAGTTCATAGTGGCTTGAAAACAGTGCATATTGTGCTAACAAGTAAGAACTACAACAGTGTTTTGGTATTTTATTCATTTTGATCATAATAATCTTATATAAGATATATGTCTAATCTTATATAACTTTACAAAATACAAGAATTCTTTCTCCAAAGCTTACTGAAATTTAAAATGGAGATGTTACTGCAGAAAAAGTAAAACCCATTGCCAGCAACTCACAGTATTTCTGTATTATTTTCATTTCTCAGTAGCTGTAAGATTTCTTCTTTTGTTGCTTTCTTCAGGCTCTTGATAAATACCAAAAATCCTTTTACGGCATCGGCTTTTGAAAGATTATCTGGTTCAAGCTGTTTTTGGATTCCCATCCACTGCTGAAACAGCTGCCAAAAAGATACACAATTTGAACCTTTGCCCCTTCAAAGGTTTGTCCTCTGTGAATTGCTTATAACTTGGGCTGGTCTCCTTTTTCAGCACTCCACAAATTGGCCTGGGATATTACCTACTCTCTTCTGATAAGAACTGAAAGGCCAAAACTTCTCCAGCTTTAGCCTGGTTTGCTAAAGAGAAACTGACCTTTTGATCCCATCAGATTTTTTCTTTTTTTTTTCAGAGAAATCAGAAGAAGGGAATGAGAAAGTAAACCTGAGGTGATCAGAAAAACGTTTGTGAGGAAGAGGAAATATGTTGACCAGCAGATTTTATAATAGCCTAACTTAGATCATACCTTTACAGAATTTTAAAGGTAATAATCAATACTTGATATGTCACCTTAAACGAAACTGAGACTCAGTGCAATTAAAAACCCCAGAGTTGGCCCTGCAAATGCCAAGGTTGTTAACCAAATTAACAGCCGGTTCAGCTCAGGAAGACCAAGTAATATGAGAAAGAAGCTTAAATATGAGAAAGAAGCTTGACTTGACTTGAATTTCTTTGGTACAAGAGCAAATGAAAGGGAAATACTGTCAGTCTTCGAAGACTGAGATATTATAGCCAATATAAACAAAGTAGAGTTTTAATATTTCATATGAAGTCTGAATTGGTTTTCCTCAAGGGCTGATAGTAATGTTAACAGCAGAGGTGTCATTGATCTTCTTGGGGGGGCGGGTTGCAGATCCTGAGTTCTAGATTGTATATTAGCCAAAGCTAATAAAAGATCTGGCTGTTACTTTAGGGTAATCAATCACGGAAGATCCAGAATCACTCCCAAACTTTCAAGTATGGCATTCTTCTCCCCACTCCACAAGTACATCTGCCTATCTGGATTTAGCTTTAATTTACTGTAGCTCATTCAACTCAATATTGACTTAAGGAAAACAACACATTCATATGTAAGTATTCTGATAGCATTCTGCTCAAAATCCTCTGATGAACTGCCCCATCTATTTCATATGTATGTATATATATATATATTCAAACTACAATAAAACCTACAATATATTCAAACTACAGTAAAACCTACAATATTTGTCCCAGGATTATTTTAAATCTTCAGATGTCTAATTTCAAAAGTCTGATTTTTTTTATCTTTGAAACATCCTGTGAAGTTTTGTCTGTCATGTGAAAAAAAAATGTCTGAATGTTCAAACAACTTCCAGTACAGAGCTGAGTGAATATTTTGACCAGTGCTACCGTATACAGCCACTTCTGTTATCCAGTATTATCTCTGGCATTCTTTTGAGAAAGCTCAGCTGTTCCTACCAGCAATGTTTATTGCAGCTCTCCTAAGTAGGAAATTAGGAGCTCAGCTCAGCCTTTGCTAAAATACCCTATCTCTTATTGGGCCAGGGTTATTAAGCAATAGTAGCAGATGCTAATTCCAAATAGCACTTGTATAATTTCAACAGTACAAGTTCACCTTACCTGAATTGTAATTAAACATACAAAAGCAATGATGAGTGAGATAGCAGCTATTTCTGGAGCCTTAATGAATGGCAAGGGAGTACTAATAGCTCAGGACACAGCTGGAGATTAAAAACTTCAGCTGAGCATCCCTACATATCCTATGCTAAATATTGCTTTATAGACAAGAATGTATGACCCAAGGCCTTGGGATTGTATGTGGCCCTCATTTTCAAAATCTTGTGTGTGATCCTTACAGCTCCTCTGAAAGTTGTGTTGAATGAAATATCTGGCAAGGAAACCTATTGTAAATATGTGAGGAGTGATTATATTATTAAATATAATTGTTTTCATTTTAAAATTTAAAAGTAAAGTTAAAATGTTTGTGCTAAACCCCCAATTTTTGGAGTCTCTCCCCAATATGCCATTTAAAAACCAAGTGTGACCTTAACCCCCAAAGTTGCCTCTTTCTGATTTATGGACATTTAGTCTCTACAATTATACTGAAGAAGAATAGATGAATAATAAATAAGCTTTCTAGTGGTGAGGTTTTCCTGACATGGCCCAGGCAATGTTGCATGATAGAATTCTCAGTTGTTCAATTGCTGGAGGAGAATAGAGCATCATGGGATAAAAGCTGTTCACATACAGTTCAAAATCTTGGAATTAGGCTCAGACTATAGTAGTCTGCTAACTATAGTAGCAGCGAATATGTTTCCTAGATAAAGTAATCTTAAGTTCTCTAATTCCTTCCGGTACCTTTTTAGCTATGGCCATTTCAATAGTACATAACTTTTATATTTCCTTTCATGCATTTCTTTATTACTTACTGATGGACAACTTTTGCATTCATGAGAGACAGGATCTGCCATCAAAGAAATTGCCACATAATTTGAATCCAGAGCCTTTATAATGCTGGCAACTTGCTTCCCAGCTTTCATTCTTGGACCAGCTTCAGTTGACTTCAGTTCCAGTTTCTGCCTATAGTATGTACATAAGGAAGCAGTTCAACTAGCATGCCTTCTCTAACACAAACAGCTTAAAATAGCTATATGTGTTGGCAAGGGCTACAAGACATCTATATTCTGAGATATATATAGCTGAGTAATGGTTATAAGCAAAAACATATCTATTTGTGGCAAAATTCATGCAAATAAGGAATCAAATAATATGTAGAGCTGCAGCATTTTTTAAAAACAAAACAAAAGATTTGTTTAGATTTGACAGATCAACCGTGGACTTTGATATTCCTGAGAACAGGAGAAAGTCAGGCTCTGTGAAGCATTCAGATGAAGAGCCTTGCAATTGAAAAAGACGAAGTACCTCTCTTTGGATTATTAAAGTAGCTGTATCATTTGCATAATTAGTTTGGCTGCTTTAAAAGCCATCCTTGGCTGTCTACATGAGTGGTTGGGGCTAAAGTGTATCTCTATATGCATTTACCCCAATTAGAGAGAAATTTCCAGGTAGCCATTCAAGTTTTTTAATTATGGGTATGTTTTAATGTGTTGAGGAGATATGCTTTGCTTATATGCTTGAAAAGCACTTCTTCCAAGCCCAATTAATACAAAGCAATGATAGCAATAATAAACATGTTAAGCTTCTTGAATTATATACAAAAATATATTGTTTTCAAAATGTTTTCCCTTTGCTTTTAAATTATAGTACTTGGGATATCAACAAAGGTAAAGATTAAAAGCATTATTAATTGGATTTGACCATTGGAAATTTTCTGAAAAATAGACAAAGAAACCACCTTACTTTGAAATAACCTTTGTATCAATAAGTTGCAGAGATTTCAAATTAAAAATATGATTTTCTTCAGCCCGCACAGATTTAATGAAGGTGTCCTCCAGTACATAAATTACAGCTGAAGTGGCTTTTTTCGTCACCTTGAAGAGCTGAAAAATGATTTTATGTAAATAAAAAATACATAAATAAAATTAGAAACTAATTCTCCAAATTACATCAATCTATTTTTATTATACTGTTTGCTGGATATAAAATTACTTGAATTTATCTTGTTCTAAATTATAACATGGAATGAAGTCAATTAACAGTAGTTTTATGGTGAACAAAAGAAAGCAAATCAAATAGCATCAATTGCCATAATATAGGATGATAACTGGTTTATATTATGTTTTTAACATTAATAAGTGATTAAGAAATTTGAAAAAGTATTTACTGAACCATATTAGCTTTTACTGTCCCCTAACGCATGTTTTCTTTATTCAGTACTATTCAAAACTTTGGGGACTTTTTGTCTGATGCAAAAAAAATGTTATTTTTATTTTATTTATTTATTTTGTCAAGCACGTATTAGATAACAGATATAAGTATAAACATGATTATGAATACATGAAATGGATAAGAATAAAAGGAAACATTATGACAGGGACGGAAGGCACGTTGGTATGCTTATGCACGTCCCTTACAGACCTCTTAGGAATGGGGTGAGATCAACCCCATTAAAGTGTTTGGGGTTAAAGTGTTTGGGATTTGGGGGAAGAAACCACAGGGTCAGGTAGTGCATTCCAAGCATTGACCACTCTGTTGCTGAAGTCGTATTTCCTGCAATTGAGTTTGGTGCGGTTTACCTTGAGTTTGTATCTATTGGATACAAACTTGAATTTGTATAATTATCGTAGTTCTGAAGTTATCTAACTGACTAGAGATTTGCTGAAGAAAGTAATTAGGATTGGGACCACAAGATTAAACCCCAAGAATTAACCAAATAGTAGAAAAGTTGTGTACCCTACTGTACCTGATTGTGGTTGGTTACACTTGGATGTTCTAACTTGCAAGAGTTCAGGGCTTTCACTTTAGTGATCTGATTCTGCCGAATTTGATAAGTCACATTACATTTTCCACAAATATCAATCTAGAGAATAGATTAAATAAACATGTTGGTGTATCAAAGACCTGCTGACCAACTTTTTTTTTTTTTACAAAACATAGTCTCTGCTTTTTATTATAAATATTCTCAAAGTAATAGTACAACTAATAAAATCATGCTACTGCAGCAATAAAGCAACTCAGTTTCTACCCAAGGTAAATTTCACCTCAGTGAAGGAATTTTCTTTAGACTATAGCTGGTACAGGAAGATCTGCAGTCCCAATAGTTCTAACTTCCACTAGAGTGATACTGTTTACATTTTTAAAACCTGTAGGATAATTTCAAAGAAGTGTTTAATATCAATAAAACCCTATTCATGTATTACATTAAGGCATTACTTGCTTAACTATGATCTGTTGATTAAGCCACAACTGGCTGTGTTCATATAATACACTATGTCATGAACCATGGCAGAAACTACACAGAGTGGATTCACACAACTTGTTTTCAAGAAGCAAAACTGACTAATTTGTGTCAACATTCTCCATTATTATAACTCTAAATATTTGTTCAGGATTTGACTATTCATATTTCTTTATGACATCCAAGAGAAGACAGGAAGAGGTCCAAATGTTCTCTATAAGTCTTTTATTGTTATACTGACTTGAACTAACCTTTACTCTAGATTTCCAAATAGATTATAGCAAGGATATCTGTACAAGGAGGAGAGGCAGGGCAAATGATGTCACATGTACTATAATGGAATTGGACACAATAATATCAGGACACATGTGTTGACATTGAGCTCTTAGAGACACTTGGTCTTATTTAAACACTAAAGTAAATCAGAAGTTCTGTTTAATTTACAACTGACATTTGTGTAGAAATTCTACAAATCAAGCACCAAATATTAGCTTTATTTGTAGCCCGACAAGTTATGGTTTGCCAACTATGATTTCAACAAATAAAATTAGTTGAGTAGAATCAAAGAAAACTATATTCCTATCTTAGATTCCCCAGTTTTCTTCAGGTGAATTTACAATAGGCTGAGATGAGAGACGAACATGGTGAAACAAAAAAGCTTAGTAAAAGGGAATGAGCATTTCACAAATTGACTGGTTTTCAACATAGGATACATGTGCAGCAAATTCATTCCTTATTTGTAACATTCATTTTTTATTTATTTGTTGAATTTATTTTCGCTGTGGGGCTACTCTAGGCAGCTAACAGTAATAAAAAGGAAGAAAATGAAAGAAGTATAAATAGAAGTAAAACAAAAGAATAGAATAAACAATGAAAAAGAACAGAATGATAATACATCAGTATGATAACCAAAAAGATGAATGAGTGGAGAGCAGTGTGCAAGGTGGGAGGGGGGAGGTGGAGCCTTCCATCAATCTAGCTGCTACCTCCAGCATAGAAGTCCACCATTGGTTCCCAAACCAACTGGCAGAGCCAGGCTCTTATATTTATACTTATATTTATATAGATGTAATGTAATAGAATATATGTAATGTAATATAATGTAATATATTAGTAAGAAAACTAATATATTTATGTTTATACTGTTAATATAGCACTCCATGACTGTGACTTCATTTTGTCTTGCTCTTAACCCTTACTTTGAGGGCAATAATGAGCTGGTTCTTCAGCAGAATTATAAATCTCATTATTGGTGGTCAGTGGTGGGATTAAAAAATTTTTTTACTACCGGTTCTATGAGAGAGTGCTTTGTGTGCACGCACAGCGTTCAAAATACACCAATTTTAAACACTACAGCTTACCTTCTAGGGCAGTCCCGGTAAGTAAAAGAGCTGAGGTGCGGGAATCCACTGTGCCACATGAATCAGCTGAGCTGAAAAATGCGGAAATATAGGACAGGATAGGGTGGGGTGGATGGGCGGGGCCAGATGATTGTTGGAGATACCAGTTTACTAGAACCGGTCCGAACCGGCAGCATCCCACCACTGCTGGTAGTGTGTTAGTCAAATCACAAGCTTCTTATATAACATACATAAGACATAGGCATTTATGTTTAACTCTTTAAAACTCTGTCCTCAACATTGTAAGAGGGTGGCACTCGCTGCATTTATTTCTGCCCAAATGTGAACACATACCTAGAAAAGGCTTATATAATTTTTACAAAAATCTATATCCCCCTTTCTCTTCTTTTTTAATGATGTATCTCATTTTCCAGAGTAATAGCCTATCTGTTCCTGTTCTTTATTCTCTTTATTCCTTTGTTTTTATAATTTTATTGCATTATTCTATGCTGTTTGGTTATGATATACACTACCCAGAGTCAATTTGGAATTGTATGGTGCCTAAATTAAATAAGTTCAATTTAAAATCAAGACAAGCAAATGCATTTTAGCATGCATGAAAGAATAGAGTACCTCGCTTGTAGATCCAGAATTTAGCTGTATTTGAAACAAACTAGCCAGGCCTTTCTTGAGATTCTTGATAATAGAAGGTTCATCTTCATAGCAGTAGAAATTTTTAACCTAGAAAGTTTGGAAGGAGAGAGAAAGAGAGAATTTGTAATAAGAATCAATTTTAATTTGAAAACCATCCTCCAAAATTCCAGTCATTATTTATCATTAACTTATTTTCACAGTTATTAAGATGAATCAGTATTCTATTCTACACAGTTATATCCCAAAGCATGTCCAATGAAAAGCAGCAGAACAACAACAGAAATCTGTGTCAAGTCTGCAGAATAAAACACAATCTATATATTTCCAAGCATGGAATGATCTTATTATGCAACACTTTCTTTCAATAATAGAAACATCAAAGCACTTTAAATTCATGCAAAATCAGCAGTGCCATGCAAACTTAAGCCTGATATCAAAATATTCGACCCAGAATCAGATGTAATAAATCTTTTTCAAGCTTCCCTGAATAAATAATATTACCATCTGATGGTTATTTAAAATGCCAAGTGCAGGAAACAACCAAATGACTTAGAATGTTTAGTACAAAAAGTGATGGATCATGTGATGTTTGTTTGCAAATAAGTATTTTTATTTGGGGGAGGTGAGTATCCAGCTTTGGTAAAGATTTCCCCTTTCCAACTGTGGTATCCAACTGTCGGAGGAGGTGCTCATCTCCATTTCTTAGTCAAGGGAGCCAGTGTTATTAGAAGCATCTTCGGATGCTTCTTCCATGGCCATGTAGCCAACAAGTCTGTACGCCAAGGCGCACTGAACCTTTCCTACTGAAGTGGTACCTATTTATCTACTTGCATTTGCATGCTTTCAAACTGCTATGTTGCAGGAGCTGGGACAAGTAATGGGAGCTCACTCTGTTATACGGTACTCAGGTGTCGAACTCCGGCTGTCAGCATTCCAGATGACAAGCTCAGCATCTTTAATACACCCTTTTCCAGCTCTGATATAGAACACTTAATTTTAATGTAGAAGGTTTTATCCAGCTTTTCACAACCTGGTGACCTCCAGATTAATGTAAATCAATTTCCAAAAATCCTCATGTCTGCATATCCTAAAGTAAGTTCCTGGTGTTTTCAATTTTAAAAAGGATCAGAAGGTGAAGCCCCTAGCTACTCAAAACCCTGGGGAACCACTACCAGACTAGATTACTAGTGGCTAAAAGTTACACTCTCAATCATCCAGGTCATGGTTATTCCAAAAGTGCTTTTTCCAAAAGGCAATTGGACTTTCATGCTTTTTTCCTTGAAAACATTTTGCTTCTCACCCAAGAAGAACTGAAGAGTCTTTTGGAAAAGCACTCTTGGGAGAGATGGAGAAGATACTAATTTTGATCCATATCAGAAGTCTTCTAGATGATGTGGATGTCTCCAGAGGGTACATGATGTTTTTTTTCTGGGAACTCATAATCTAAACAATCTATGCATTTTTTAAATCTCCCTCTAAGCATAGAATAAACATTTATAAGCCTTCATCTTGCAGTGCATAGACAATGGCTACAATGATGAAGATGATGATGGTGATGATGTGCTCATGATGTTTTCTTTATAATTTCCAGTCCATAACAGTCTTAAAATAGTATTTTCTGTTTCTCTTTGCCATGGAGATTGCACAAGATGCTTCCTCAATAATGCTGGTGATGTTGATGTAATGGACTGGGATCGATCCTAATACCATCATGTTATTCTCAGAAACTGGGAAAAAGTATCCCAAAATGATTGGCTCCCCTAATTAAGTGAAAATAAATAATCTGTCTCTGGGATGGCAGGAAGAAACTACTAATGTTAGTTCTATCTGACCCTAATAATAGTCAGGTACACTGATTAGTCGTCAAGATATGACATGAAATTGACTTAATAAGCTCACCTTTCATACTAACTCCCCTTTTGCCACCCCAGCAGAAATTTTGAGATAACACATACTGTAAATCTTGGTCCTTGATCTAAGCTATGCAATCAGTCAAAAATGAACCATAGTGAAATTAATAACAGAGGGACGTGTCAGAGGCAGAGTGATCTTTGCACTGGCTGCTGCCTCTGAATTTAAACCACAAGACTTTGTTCTTTTACCTAGCCCTCAAGCACTTAAAATATGCTGAGCTGCTGCCCATTCTGCCCTTTATAGAGGTTACAATAAGTACATTATCTCTTAATGGCACTCTATTGATACATTTTGGCATCCCTTTGAGAGCAGTATTTTGTTTCCATGATGGGCAAACATTTTCAAGGCACGTAGGTGAGTCTTATTTGAAGTCTTTCTCATTCATCCTCGAAATGCCATTTTTCCATCTTCAGATCATAAAGCTTTCACCAGTGGGATCTGATATAGAGTGGGCTCACCAGCCTTTGATCCTGTGTTCTTCGTTCAATACAAAAAAAAACCCAGGGGATTTACTGTAGCCCACACAATTCAAATTGCTTTTCTATTATGCATTCCGACCCTCCCTGGTATTAGACTGGAATGGAGAATCCAAGACATGAATGGATGTGTGGGAATGGATTACCCACAAGATAGTACCACTCATGAATGTGATCTAATGCAGCTTCTCCACCCAAAAACACCCTGACATTTTATTTTGATTGCTCTGGCAGAGAGTGAAGGCAAAAGGCCAATCTGTCCACTCCACAACTAGCACAATATGCTCAAAGCAGTCACGATGATGTAGTAGTCGTTGCTTTTTTAAACGCTGGGATCTAGTACATTGGCCATGTAGATTCTATCAGGGCTGGGATGAGATCTGGATTTCAAGTGATTCAGAGTACATGTGGGTGTGTATGTAACGCTTGCTGGGATCACCTTAAAGTAACTGCAGCTGACACACAATCCTGGAAAAGACACTTTGGTTGTATAGTGTTTCCCACAGTTGCTACCTGCATGACTTCAAGGGCAACCATTGGTGGGGGAGGGGCTCAAAAAGTAAGGATGGCAGCCATTACTGACCAACTGAAGCCCCACCCCATTCTACATGTGTCGTGGCATGCAGAAAGAATAACTGAACTTTTCATTGTGCAAACTTTTGTGCTCTTTGCCCTCCCCTTGATACTCAATGCCATTGAAAGTTCTTGATCACAGTGTATGCTTTGAATGTGGATCTTTCCCCAGCCGTATTATCTATCAGATTTACTAAATCTTCTGCTATTGTTTGCGTGGAACTTACAAGACAGCTCTTGAGCATGTGCTAGCTATATAATACATGGTGACTGGGTTACATATCATTTAGCCTTTTACAAATATCATGACCCTAATTCAAAGCATGCAAGGTAGATTTATATAAATAAAACCTTTAAAACGAACCTTTCTACTTATTCTCTTACCTTTCCACGAATCCAATGCAGAAATACAGGCCTTTTTAAAGCAGCAAGATGTTCTTCTTCATATAATTTATTGGTGTTTTTCTGCTGAAAAATGTCTTTTGCTACAGGACGCTCATTCACATTTTCAAGTGATACATCTGTAATCTAGAAAGGCAAAAGCAACAACAACCCCCAATAAAATAAAATAGGAAAAATCAGCTAATTTGCAATAGGAGATTATTTCCTCAGACTTAATTTCCCCTTTCTTCAATTATTTTTCAAAATGTATTTTCCATTTTATCTGTGTACTTTGAAGTGGCTTTTCAAAACCAATGTGTAACCTGCAATTTCTAATCAGTCTTACACAAATTGGCCAAGGACAATGATGAATTCACAAGGCACACTAACTCATAATGTGATTTATTTGGGGTTTTTATTTTTGTTTACTATGATGTGATTTTTACAAATCTGGCCTTTGTTCTATTACATGAGAGTTTACAGAAGCATCCTGAAATAATTAAACTCTACATAATTGATAACTCTACATAATTGATGAGCCTTAAAATTGGAAAATTCTAAATAGAATCTCTATATTTCTCATTTGGCTTCAATTCACAAAGTTGCTAACTTTGAGCCTGATAGCTCCTTATGTTGAAACCTGTATCCCTGTATGTACCACTGAACATCGTGGGCTATACTTTCTGTACAGTGCAATATTAAATGCCTTCAATTTTGAAATGCATCCTATATTTTCTATAAGTACAAATTAATCACATTTTGCCTCTTGACTTACATTAACTAAATTTGCATTACCCAAATTATCAGAAAATGCCTTTATAACATCATCTTACAATAATTGCCTACCGCAATTTTGATCAACTGGTCATCGTCATTATTGGGATTTCTCCATACTAAGTTGACATCCACTCCAGATGAAATTTGATAGCCCACACTCTCATGGGGTAAACCTCTCACTCTGTCAATAAGAACTTGGGTAGAATAGGTAAACTTGTATAATTTGTCATTGTTTATTCGAGGACCAGTATTGTGGCCTATATGAAGAAAAAAAATAATTGTGGATAGTGTTGCATCAGTGATAAACTAAAATACAAAGAGGCCACCATATTATAGTCCTATCTCCAAAGCATGGTTTAAATATGAGAGATTTAAGACAACGCTTAAACTTACCTCTGAACAGATTCACCACCAAAGTTCCTCAGATTGAACCTTAAGAATCTTCCTAGATGCTTTTTAACAAACTTTTGTGAATCATATTTGCACTAAAACTCTACTTAAAACTTGCCACCTTTAATGAAAGGGTAACGGAGTAGCATACCCAAACCAAAGTTCCAGGAATTAAAACAGGGACAGTCTAAAATAAGAAAGCCCTATGCAAATATAGGAAAATATATAAATAAAAATGTTTGTGTGTGTGTGTAGGGAGGGAGGGAGGAAAGAAGGAAGGAAGGAAGGAAGGAAGGAAGGAAGGAAGGAAAATTTCTGACAACCACTGCCAGCTTCATTCTAGGAAACTTAGTGAGGAAGCTGAGAAATCAGAAGTTGCTCCTTCTTCTGTTAATTGTTTATGGTTATTTGCTTTGTCTGTTTAGCAAAGGAAATATCTTTGCAATAATGACCCATGGATCATGGATTGTCTAGTTCCTATCAAAGCTTTGGGCTGAGCCTAGTTTTATCCATTGCTAAAAGAATCTTTCCTACTGGTAGCATTCTAAAATAAGCTACTGTGCTGTAAATAATATTTCAATACTATTATTTCAACAAAATTTTCACTGGATGATTGGCAGGGGGAGGGTTTATGAAGGAAATAATATACCCCTATATCACATCCATCCATTTCAAGGCCATCCCTACTATTAGACCTAGTAAGGCTGTTGGCTGAGGTTGTAGCTATTGGGATGAATGGTGTTGCAGGAAAGTACTGAACTGCACTCCCGCACTGGGTGTATCATTCAATTTGACCTTCATCTTTTCACTCATTTACTAGAAAGTTTGCATTAAGATGCCTCCTCTTAATCACTTCCCAGCCTTTTGGCTAAGATCCAATGTATTTCATCTTTTAGAAATATATGCATACATATAAATGTGCATATAAATTGTCTCTCTGCCTCCCATGCTTTTTATTTTCTTATCCATGTATTAAATTATATGATAGTATTCTAAATTTGAAACTATCTTGAGTATTTGGCAGAGACAGTGCATAAAGACCACAGAAATAATAAATAAAACACAGACTGGAAAAAATATTAATACATCTTTGGGAACAACACAGATTGGCTTAGAAAAATTCTAATATGTTTAGCCTGTTAATTTATTTTTTAATTTATCTTTTTCAGAATTTTGTGTTTGCTGTGTCTGATCTACTGGCTAGAGTAGCTTACAATAATTCGATATATTTTACCTGATTATAAACTGTGACAAATAATAGTTATAATCCTAATGCCCAATTAAACCTGATGGTTTAAATAATATGTATCTATTTTCATCTGCACAATTTTACATTAATCTGCATTAATGTTATTCTCCTTCTGATAAATTTGCAAAGTTTATTCATATAAATGTAGATTTCCCTAAATACCGTGTTTCTCACAAAATAAGGCCGGGTCTTTTGTTTTTTTGACCCCTGGAAAAAACGGCTAAGCCGTCTTTTCGGGGGTGACTTAATTTCCTCCCCCACCTAGAGCGGCCCATACGCACATACCTTGCCGCAAGGCCACTTCTATCGGCCGAAGATAGCTCCCTGAAGGCAGAGTCCCCAACTGCTTCAGGGCATGACGTGGCTGCCCTTATCCCCTCGCCTTTAGGCAGTCTCTTTCGGGTGATGGAAGCTCCCCAAATGCAGTCACCAGCCACTTCGATCAGCTGGTAGAAGCGGCCTCGGGGCGAGCACACATGCACACTCCCCTTGCCGCGAGGCCGCTTCTATCAGCAGACAAAAGCTCCCTTGAAGGCAGAGTCCCAAGCCTCTTCGGAACAAGGCGTGGCTACCTGTATCCCCTTGCCTTTAGGCAGTGTCTTTCGGGCAATGGAAGCTCCCCAAATGCAGTCACCAGCCACTTCTATCGGCCGGTAGAAGCGGCCTCGCAGTGAGGGGAGTGTGTGTGTGCGCTCACCCCAAGGCCACTTCTACTGGCCGATCGAAGTGGCTGGTGGCTGCATTTGGGGAGCTTCCATTGCCCAAAAAAGACTGCCTAAAGGCAAGGGGACATGGGCAGCCCCGCCTCACCCCGAAGCGGCTTGGGACTCTGCCTTCAAGGGAGCTTTCATCTGCTGAAAGAAGCAGCCTTGCGGCGAGGGGAGTGTGTATGTGTGCTTGCCCCGAGGCCGCTTCTACCAGCTGATCGAAGTGGCTGGTGACTGCATTTGGGGAGCTTCCATCGCCTGAAAGAGACTGCCCTAAAAGCGAGGGGACATGGGTAGCCACGCCATGCCCTGAAGCGGCTGGGGACTCTGCCTTCAGGGAGCTTCTATCGGCTATCGGGGTATTCTACCCTAGGCTACCTGCAGGGCATTCCTAAAGGCAAGTTTTCTCCCCATACCCCCCGCTCATTTCTCTTCACCTTATGTAGTTCTAATGAACGATGTGAGAAATGGTGGGAAAAGCATGGTTTAAATAGGCCTACATTTTGGGGGCAGGACTTAATTTCACCTCATGCCTAGAAATCATGCTGGGCCTTCCTATTGGTGGAGGCCGTATTGTTGGAGAAATACGGTAGTACTAGATATACATTTTAATGTAGTATGTTGAGATTCTCACATAAAGCAGAGAGTTCCACTGTTATCTAAACACGTTGCAGAGAGAAATGAGTACATGCAACTTGAATAACTATTTTAGTGTCTGTCATTACAACTTTCTATAATTAACTCATGGTTCTGTATAATAGAGAAAGCTATGCTGCCTGAGCTGAGACAGCTGTCAGGGACTGTACCTTTTATTAGTATTCCGGGCATAGACAACACATGCAGTTTTAACCATTAGCTGGCTCTAAGTTTACACTTGCTGTGTCTTACAGCAAGCAATTTGGAGAAAATACTAAGCTATAGCATTACAGCTGTATTTTCTGCTGTAATCTCACTGAATCCTTCTGAAAAATATTATACATTTATAAAGAAATTTACTTTTAATATAGAAATATTTTACATACATAAGCAATCGAAAATATGATAATTAAAATCTTTTTTATTACAAAAGCATCTGTGTTGTTTCAATTGTGATTCTAGGAAGTTGCACAAAATCAATACAATCAAAATAAGTTTAACAGAACTCTAATATTGTCATAGAAAGCATTCCATCTTATAATACCAAGTGGCCATGATAAATTTGAGTTCACATTTGCCCAATTATCTGATCATCCTAATGCACAAACATATTCTTTTATAATAAATTACTAAAATGGAATGAAGGCAACATTAGGTATCTATATACTCAGGTTAATTTAATGTTCCTCATTTATCGTTATCAGATCACAGAGTCTTTAAAAAAATCTTCCACGAAGACATATTTTAAGTCCTGCTATAGTCCAAAGATCGTAACTGTACAACTGATGTTATAATTGCAAAGATAATACAAATATAATTAAGGGAGCACCATTCAATGCAGATTAATAGGAAAAAAATGGAGACTTCTTCATGCTTCCATATAATTGCATATTGTTGAATTAAACATTATGACATTTTTGAAAATGCTTAACACTGCTACTGTTCTTTAAAAAGAAAAGCGGCAGTTTAGAACCCCAAACTGCTGCTGTAATCCAGATTTGGATCGGAGCCCACGTCAATTTGCCATTCAAAATCCACTTTCCCACCTGCTATTTGCCCTTTAGCTTTTCTGCACTTCCCCTTGGCTAATGTACAAATTACCCTAAATAGCAGGATAGGATATTAGTAATTTCTGTGATATATATATATATATGTGTACATGTCTATACTGTCATGTGTGTGTATACACACACATATGTACAGATGTGTGTGTATACACACACACGTGTGTATGTATGTACAGTATATGTATACACACACACACACACATAGGACAGTATAGACATGTACAGGAAAGTAAGTCAGAAATTTGTGTGTGTATATCTCACATATTTTCCTGTCCACTTTTGGTCAAAAACTAAAGAAAGTAGATGTGTTAAAATATTAAAAACAAGAAATGGTGTAGAGTCTCTTGCCTGGGTGGGGGGGTTGGACTAGATGACCTACAAGGTCCCTTCCAACTCTGTTATTCTGTTATTTCAATGGAACAGAAGGCACTTTATTTTGCTTAAAAACAAAAAAGCAAAATAAAAGATTGAAAACCTCGTATCATAACCAGTTCTACTCAGTGAACACATTATTTTTCCCAAAGTTGTCCATCCTAAATCTAAAGCACAATAATAGCATTTCATTACTCTGGGGTACTCTGTGTCTAGACGATCTGTTCTCCAGACACTGGCTTCTATTTTAGCATCACTGCTTGTCCTGTATTTGTTTAAGTTTAAATTGGTCTGCCTCCAACTCCAAGAAAAACACACTGACAGAAAGGTACTTCTTGGAAAAGCAAAAGGCCATCCTACACCTCTCCTCTGGGGCAGGAAACTAAGGAATATGTTCCTTAGAGTGTGATAGCTTACACTTTTCCTCCCACTGTAAGCAACGAATGGCTCCAACAGAAACTCAAAAAAAAAATGTGGGAGTTTTTTCAGTGTATTATTCATAATTCTTTTTTTTTTACTAGCATGAATGAAATACGACACATTTTCAAAATTGCCTTCAATAGGAATTTTGTCTATCAGTACAGGCTGAACAGAATTCATTTCCAGGGGCATATAGCAGTTATGGGGGCACAAATGAATCCCCAACCTTTTTAATATGCAAAAAAAAAAAAAAGGCTCAGGGCTTCAGCCATGGACACATTTTTTTTTTACTTCCCACCCCATAAGAGCCACTATCCATTCCTCACTAAAGTTATCAATTGCATTTTCCTCCTAATTTTTTAAATTATTCAGATGATTTCTAACTATGCGTTGAAATACAGTTGCCCACAAATATGTAGGATAGAATAAAACAAAAAGCCATGTTTCAACAAAAGGACATTACATTGCAACCACGTCAAGAAATATATAACCAACCATATGTCAAAATAAACATAAGACAAATAAGAGAGAAGCAACCAGGTTTAAAAACAGAGACAACTAAGCATACCATTGAAGCAAGGTCCAAGATAAATTGGCTTTAGGAAATTTTTTAAAATCAATTAGGAAGTTTTTGGAGAGGACATCTACAACAAGAAGCCCCTCACCTTGCTGTCACTCAGCAGGGGCAGTCAGAAAAGGTCAATGGAAGATTATGCCAGTATTTGAGTAGGCGCATGTATCCAGAAGCAATTCTTCAGTAAATCCTCACACTATGAAAGGTTTTGAAAGGACTGAACTTTAAGACTTAGGCAGAAAGCTCAGTTGTCACTCAGTTGAGTGAAAAGGATAGACAGAGCAGGGTTTGCTGATCACATTTTGAAGCAAGTAAGCTAAGCATACTGTAATTTAAAGGTGGGGTACTCAACTTCCCAAATATATTGCCCACTGTTTCCATTTGTTTCCTGATACTATGCCAGCACCTTCAATTGGACCTAAACATTGTTTAAAAAGCAATGAGGATGTCAAAGTACCCTTTCATATCTCCCCCTGCAGGTTTCCTTGCAAGCAAGTGCCAAACTCCATTCAAAAGTGATCTAGAAAATGCATTTTATCCGAGAGTACCCACACTTGGTTAGCAGCCAAGTTACCTGACCTCCTTGCTCAGATCATAGTTCAATATACCTTCCTTATCACCTTTTTTAATGAACTGGAACTAAATCTTTGTCATTGAGGACTATACCACCTGCAAGACTCCACCTATTATTCCTTGCTGGGTGTAATAAGCAAGGAGACACTGTGCTTAATGACATACCTTCTTGTTCACATCCACCCTTAGGCCTAAAATTTAATCAATTCCATGACAACGTGATTAAATAAAATATAAAAATAAAAAATATAGAGTGCTCTGGATTTTCAAAATTGACTAGTCTACTTTCATTATAATACCCAGTTATTATGAAAGGCCTTGTCCTCAAAACCTCTTGCAAATGTGGCCAAGGGGGTACTGCGAGATATCCCCTATATTTTTTGTAAAGCAACTTTGAAAAAAACAAAAAAACTCTGCCAAATGAACTGTAAGTATGTAGTCCCTTGCTATAATCCGTGGTTTCTTCTGTATTTGCATCTCAATGGAATATATAACCATCACCTCTTGTCACACAGATTGTAATCAAGTAGTTGGAATAAAACATTCAATCATTTCTTCTACTCTATTTAAATTATCAGCCAAGTTCATTTACATTCTGATCACTGAACAGAGGCAGTCCCATAAATTGGCTTTCCATAGCATATATTTTTAAATCTCTTGGAAATTTTGTAGTTAATGCCTGCTAAAGATCCTACTTCCAAAGTCAAAGGAACATAGTTCTGTTTATAAAGACATACATCTTGAAACCTAGAAATTCTATCTTCATCTCTTGCATTATGCAGCTGTTTATCTTACAATCATGTAGACTGATGGGCTTGATTACCCCTTCCTTCTAAATATAGCTAGCTACCTTTCTTTCTCATTGATAGACTCGGTATCTAACCAGTTTATGGTTTAGCATTTTAAAAGCAGATTATCTGTCATTGTTTTAACAAGACATTCCAAGATACTTAAGAGCATGGGAAGTTAAAGAATGCACTTTTAGCAATGCACTTTGCTAAACAACTATATTGCTATACATAGTTGTTATACCTTAGATCAAACAGATCTCTATTGGAAAAACTACCCTGGCATTATGTTCTAATTTTGAATTACTTCAGTCCAGTATGAAAAAAATATAAGACGACAGATCAGAAGGAGAATAGATTGAAAAAAATTGCTGGATAACAGGTGAAGTCTTTGATGAGATATATTACCATATATTTACAATATTGTTTAAATGTGCACATGCAAATGTACATACAGTTAATTCACACAAAACCTATAGTAAGTGGCACTTTATTCAGATAATGGCATCCTCAGCCAATTTTTGCAAAACCAACAAATATGTGATGCCCTGAAAAGCAAATATATGTCAACTATTGGTCATGACTACACAAGATGTTAATAACTGACAGTGAAAACTGTTCAGAAGTAATTCCCATTGGTTTAAAAGATCTGGCCTGGATTAGAAAAACTATTTTCTTAAACCTTTCTAAAGTAGATTCCTGTGAATAGTTTCAGTGTTAAAGCAGAAATCCAGATTTCATAAGAAGAAAGACCTAACTTGCTGCAAACTATTGATGGCTCACAAAGCAATCCATTTAACATAATCTCCCCCATCTCAACCCCCACCTCCCAATTAATTCAAAATGATCTAGATATGAGATCCATATAAGCAAAATCTACAATGTACCTTCATCTCTCTTATTAAAAGGCAGATACACATCTATTAATGCAAGTCAAAAGATTAAAGCAACTTACCTTTGACTGATGCTGAATATGTGGAAATGATGCATGGGAAAAGCACAGTAAGAAGAACCATGGCCGGCTCACATAAGGTACAAATTATCATATTGGAAATAATGTAAGGAAACTGTGAACTGCTCTGATTGAAATGAAATCTACAAAGAAGTCTTCTATCTGCCACAATGGTGTTTATCTAGATGTAGTAAGAGTCAGATTCCAAATTCCACACTTGGGTACTAAGTCCATTGAAGGGTTTTCTAGTTAATTATTGAAAAGTGAGATAATGTGTGTTTAAATATTTTATTCTTTTCTTAAGCTTTCATTATTATATGCTAAAAGATGTACAAATGTTAGCCAGTGTAATATTTGTACATTTGCCCAACTTCCTTTAAACTTTGTAAATGCAGTGGGAATTATTGCAGAAGACATATGATTGATAAATCTCATGAAAAATTACTCTTTTAAATCTTTGCGCTGTGTGGCATTATGTCTTTAAGAAATTTAAAACATACTTTGTCCTTCCTGTTTTTGCCCTAAATGCTTTTATCATGCTACTTATTCCTAATTTTTAACAGGATACAGACACTTTGAAAAACTTGTTTTTACTTGTTTGCAGAATTCCTGGAACCAAATTATAGTCAGAATACACTCTCTGTTTAATTCTAAGCAACTGCACAGAGTTGCTATGAGTCAGGAAGCATAAACATTTTATCATTATGGTTGGTCACTTTATCAGTCAGATGTTTAGACTGGATTTGGCATTTTTATCCAGCTGTTAAGTCTTTCCCAAGGACCTGGGACAGGCAGACGTTGTTTGGTGGTATTAAAGGTATTGTAGCAGGATGTAAGGCTATTCCAAGTAAAACTGCCTTATTATTATTTGTTCACAACAATGTGAAGTCACAGCTGCCCATTTTTTAACTGGTGTTGGCATTGAGTTCTTCTCAAGAATTTAGGATTTACTATCACAATTGAGCCCTGAATTTTTATTGCAAGACAGTTGTGACTTTTGCTCCATTTTACAACATTTCTTGCCACAATTGTTAAGTGAATCACTGCAGTTGTTAAGTTAGTACTGCAGATGTAAAGCGAATCTGGCGTCCCCAGTGTCTTTGCTTGTCAGAAGGTCGCAAAAGGTGATCACGTGACCCCAGGACATTGCAACCATCATAAATATGAATAAGTTGCCAATCATCCTAATTTTAATCACACAATCATGGGGATGTATGAAAAACATTCATAAGTCACTTTTGTAACTTTGTTGTAACTTTGATAACTAAACAAATGGTTGCAAGTTGAGGACTATCTGTACTATGGTTCATCGCACAGTCAGCCGGATATTCAGATTGGATCTGACATTTTTATCCACCCATCGAGTCCTTCCCAAGGACCTGGGATAGGCAGATGCTGATGTATGGGGGGCTGTTGTCACATAATGTAAATTCTTCCAAGTAAAGCTACCTTCTGAAGTAGAAAAGTGTCTGGTTTGATCCAGCATTACTCAAGCCAAAACCCTTTCTAGTCCACAATCAGGTTTTCCACATTGATCAATAGCTAGAAGAAAATTCAAAATATGATATGGGGGGGTAGGCTTGGGGGAACTGTTTCCCTATCCAATTGTTTCTAACAACTCATATCCAGAGGCATTAAAAAATGCCATTTTTAGATTTAACAGAACATGTCTAATTTAGTTCTGAGTTGGAAGACCTTGTAGCTTCCATTAATTGAAAGGTAAATTAGAATGCATTATTCCAGGGAACATCAAAGTGCCTTTTGAAAACAAACAGATTCTTATTTCTAGAGTTGCTATTCATACAAATGGTACTGTTCTCATTGACCTGAACAAGCATTTCCTTTCAATATATTTCATTTTAGTCTTGCTGGCCAGCATTCCAGGGTTAAAGTCCTATCGCCGTCATAAATTTCCAGAGTCCAAGCCATAAAACTCCTTCCATTATCATGTAATGAAGATAATTAGTTTCTTTGATCAAACTGATTTTTTAAAAAAGAACATGTCTTATTCCGCTCTTTTCACAAGCCTCATTTGAATGCTTAGTGGGGGAAATGTGATTGATAAACTTGTCCTGTATATACTACCATCAATATAAAAGAGTTTGGCAATTACTTTCCAGCCAAGCAAGAAAAAAGCTAGTGCAGAAGACAAAATTAGTATGCATTACAGTAATAAGAATGTGGGTAATATTTTTGTCAGGAACATGTCACTATGGACATGCAAACAGGCATGGACTTTTTCAAACATACACTCACGCTTTTCTCTTCTTTGCCCTTTTGCTTCCATCCCAGTGACTCTCTGCCAATCATTGCTGTTCAATGGAAGAAACTACGTTGTTTCATTTCCTGCTATAAATAGCAGCATTAGCATTCTCATCAGTCACCCACTAAAAATCAGAGCTCACGTGTTTTGGGACTGAGGCCTCTGCATGCCCACAGGCCATTGATGAATCCAATTTAAGATGCATCCTTTTGACTGCAATGTTCAGTAAGCTGTCATGACCATTTGTAGTAATCTGGCAATTGCAATTTATCTTTTTACAATATATCCATCAGTCCTCAAAGATCCAATGATTAAAAATGTGATGTGTCATGCTGAGTTCTGTAAGAAACCTATCCATATATCAGCTTGCTATGTAGCAATGTTCTCTATGAAGGTGTATTTTATATTAATTTTCATTTTCTTTTTTTTAAAGTTTTTATTGGTTTTTAAAAACAAACATAAACAAACAGAACATAAAAACATTAAGCCATCTTCCATATGTATATATACAGTGTGCTGGTTGGTTTACAAATTGTTTTGTGCTTGCATTTCGTAGTTTTCAATTACAATTACATTGCATATAATCTCGTATTTTCAATCAAAAATTAAATACCTTAGTATCATTATTAATCAATCATTTGACTATACTTTTATATCTTCTTATTTCTTTTTTGACTTTCTCTTCCTGGGGTTTTTGTTGCGATATTTCAATTAGAATGTATCTTTTGGAAGTCTTGTTGAGATTTTGCTGTAAGTTCTTTTTTAATTCCAGGCAATCTCCTCCCTTCCAGATCCTGCCCTTTTATTCTTCCTCTCTCCTTTCCTGTTTTCAAAAGCTTTTAATTATCCAGAAATCTTTATTAGCGCTTTGACTTTTTTTTTCAGCATTAAATGCCTGTTGATGTCAAAGTGGATTTTTTTCCAATTTCTTGCTTAAGTCTCTTAGCTGTCAGTATAGGAAAAGGAGAAAACCAAATCTTTTCCCTTTTCTCTCTTCTTCGCAGCTTAAAAATCTTAGGGAACAATGTTATTGTTTTTTAACAGTTTCAATTCCAGGGTACCTTATTTGTTGCTTTTGCTGTTTGACACGGTCAACCAAAACTTTCTCTTATCTTCCTCCTGCACATTCTTTTCTGGTCGAGTTCTTTGTGGTGGCCATTTCTGACCACCGCTGCAACCGCCTTCGGGAAAGGGAGTAATGGCCAGCTGGGGAGGAGAAATGCGGCTCTCCTCAACCCTGCTGGCAGTCTCCCCCCTCTTCACCACCTCTACAGGGTGGCTTAGCCCCGAAACCAGCCGGCTTGGGGTGCTCCAGAGGCGAGCACGGATCAAAGCCTCGCAGAGACGGGGATTTGGTCTGTCGCTGAAGAAGCTCAAACAGGAAGCGGGACAAAATTTCTTCAGGTTCTTGTATACCTTAATCCAATCAGTAGTTAGATGAAGAAAAAGGCTTGGAAAAAAAAAAAAAAAGGAAAAATTCTTCAGGTTCTTCAACACCTTAATCCAATTGAGAGGTCTCAAATAGAAAAGAGTACATAAAAATAAACCAGAAAGGTAGATGAAAAAACAAAAATACCAGGAAAGGAGAAAAAAAGGCTATTCCCTTTAAAAAAAGGAAACATTAATACTAAAGCTTTCCCTTTAAAATAAAAAGCAAGCGTAGAGATTGGACTTTCAAAGAAAAAAAAAGAAAAAAAAGACAAGCTCCAACAAAGCCAAAGATCCAAATAGCAAAATAAAAATAAAATGAAATAAAATAAAGCTGGTAAGGAGGGATAGCACAACTTAGAAAAAGTAAAAAGAGCACACTGCACTTTAATTATCCAAGGCTCTTGTTATAACTCTCTTCTCCAAAAACTTATCACCTTTTCCCCCCCCTAAGTTTCAACACCAGACTCCAGCTATTGATAGAAACCCAGAAGAGCACCTGCAATAATACTTTCCCATGCTCTTCCCTCTATCTTATCAAATAGCAATGTCCTTGAAAAAAAGTCTCAGTTCTTTCTTTCTCAGGTATGTCTGGTCACAGGAGAAATAGAATATTTCCAAGCCTCTAGTTGGCAGTGTTACAAAGTTTCTTTGCTTTCACTTTCCCCCTCCTTTTCCAAGCAAAATAAAATAAGAATTAATTTTAAAAAAGAAAAAGATATTTTAAAAAAGAAATAACTAAAATGGAGTCTCTAGCCTAAAATGTTACAAAATCAAAAAGGAGAAAAAAAAATAGATGGAAAAGAAAAAACCAGTCCAGTTTCAAAATATAAGATCATGTATAGAAAATCCAGCAATGAAAAAAAAACATTACTTTGACATTCCTGTTTAAAATCACCACTTAATCACTTCTGTCAAAACTTTTACAGATTCTTTCTTTTCCTTAGGGTGTCCTTTCAGATCTTAGAATAAAGAAAAAGTTCTCACCAAACCGGCACACACTCTCTTTCTGTTCTCTTTCATATCGGAGCTGTCCCAACTTCAGCAGCTTTAATGGCTGCCTCTTTGCCGCTGGCAAGAAGAGCTTCTCCTGGATCTACCAGGGACTTTGCGGTATCTCTGGGATCGACAGGATGCGCTCTTCACGTTCACCACCTCTTCTGGACGGTTTAGGACCATCCAGGAGCAAAGATATCAGCAGCGATCTCAGACCTCCAAGATCGCATGCCGTATCGTCGCGACGCCAGCTCCACCATCCATGAATTTTCATTTTCAATCCGCTTCTGCAACCTATGAAATAAGCTGAATACTCTTAGTTGAAAATATTCAAATGGGGAAGGTATCTTGTGCAAGGTATGCTTTCTAATCAAACATTAATGCTGCAGATTCAAAAGCCAGAAGGAACTTTTGAAATCCACTCAACTATCTATTGTCCATGAGTGTCTATCAACTATGTACATCAAAAGCACCTGCACCAAATCAGGGGTCTCCAACCTTGGCAACTTGAAGCCTGGTGGACTTCAACTCCCAAAATTCCCCAGTTGGCTTAAAATCACATCTGGATTATTGAACCAGCTGCGAAATACTTGTTCAGCTCCCGCGGATAAACGTTTGCAGGTCAATACAATTTAAAAGGCACTATGGTCTTTTTAAAAAAATAAAAATAACAATGATTTAACACCGTCCCAAATGATAGAATACAATATTCTAAACCCAAAAGCGAATCGGGGAGGAGCTTTCCCGCCATAACCCCGCCTATACTAAGTCACGAGACTGAGATATTGCGTCATTAGTCCGCGTCGAGGACTGCAACTGCGGTCTCGGGCGTCAGCGGCGCGTGCGAAGGGAAGGGCTAGCCCGGCTTCCTGGTCCTTCGGCGGTGGCTATTGCTCCTGGTTCGTGCGCTGGGCTGCGAGGTAAGAGAGAGAGAGAGAGAGAGAGAAAACACCCTTCCTCCTAGTTCCGTCGGTGGGGAAGTCGCGTTTCTCCTCAGCTTTCCTCCCCAACGGTTTCAGCAGTCGAGCCCGATTTTGCCCAGCTTAGCGCTACTTGGCAACCATGTTGGCTGGGGCACGACGGGAGTTGTAGTCCCGCCCTGCTTCCGAAGATCCTATACAGGGCCAGGTTGAATCTCTCAGCTCCTTCTTATCCCAGAGGGGACTGAAGGCTGATCCGCTAAGGAGCAAGTCCGTTAGAAATGCATTAAGCCTCCGTTACGAAGGACCTAAAAGAAGGAAAAAGCCGCTCGAGTTAACTGAGGGGCAAAAGAGGCGCCTTCTTCTGGCGCCTCAGGCACGGTCCCTTCTGTAGCGTGACGAGGCTCCCTGGGTAAAATGTGCACGCTCAGATGCGAGAAAGCTTGAGCTGAAAGGCGCCTATATTCTCTTAGGAAACAGTGCGGTCGATAAAATCCGAATAAAGAGCATTGAGATCAGCCCAGGGTGGAAAGCAAAAACATAGTTCCAATATCTCACGGGCTGCCCCAAAGAAAAGCGAGTCAAACTATTCTCCAAAGCACCTGAGGGCAGGACAAGAAACAATGGGTGGAAACTAAACAAGGAAAGAAGCAACTTAGAACTTAGGAGAAATTTCTTAACAATGAGAACAATTAATCACTGGAACAACTTGCTTCCAGAAATTGTAAATGCTCCAACACTGGAAGTTTTTAAAAAGAAATTAGATAACCATTTGTCTGAAGTGGTGTAAGGTTTAATTGGGTTTTAATTACATGAAAGCATGTTTTGAAACCAATATTTAAATTAATAGAACCAGGGCATCTTCATTTCTGTCTCTCTTGACTATTTTAGTCTTTTGAGGGTTTCCATCCCTTTTTTCAGGTCTAATTCAATAATAACCCACACAGGAGTGGAGCCTGGGCATGTCTTATGGCATTCACAACTCAAATTAATTTCTATGGATCCTACAAGGCATCAGGCATCCTGACTTTGACCATTAAGAAGTGTTGAAACTTCCAGAGTTCAATGGGTAACACTCATAATTTGAAAAGGAAACAAAGGGACTTAAAGCATCTTGCCCTTCCAACTTCATCTCTTCAATATATTAGAAGACCCAGACTTCCTAATTAAAAAAGGATAAAATTATGAACATCCTTAGGCTGCCATTGCTTTTTTTTAAATGACGTAACTGATACTTTATCACATTTTACCATTCTCTCTCTTCCTCCCTTTCCCTCCCCCTCACAACGTAGAAGGGTGGGGCATGATGCTTATGTTAGACCTACAAGATTGACTCTCAGACACTGCTGGACAAATTGAAAGTCATGGTTTCTTGCAATTTAAATTGTTTCAAGAAAATATATTCCCTTAAAGCAATGGAATAAACTATGGGCATTTTATATCCTATTATTGTCAGTTTGACACAAAGCATTTAAAAGAGGTTCTTTGCAGAATGCAGCATAGCTTTGCATACCATCTTTGAAAGCTGCCCCTGGTTGTTGGCATGCTTGTGTAGCCATCCAAGAGAGGTAATTCTGTTGCATTTTTCAATGTTGCTAAGTACCTTTTTCTAAGGCTTTGTACAGATTTGGGGTTTGTTTTTTTTAAGATTTGGGGATTTTTTCATTTCATTGAGTTTATTATAAAGTGTCAAGGCTATATTTTGCAGCCATATAAACTCTTCGCTGTTATTTTCTTTGCTGATATTTCATCAAATGGTTTGTGATTTCTCTAATAAATGTAATAAAATGGAGATGTAATCCAGATAATTTTTAAACTGAAAATAATACAATGGCTATTATATGGTTGCAAAATAGAATGTATGATATATCAGGGTAACTAATATCTGTGAATATTCCTGTTTTATTACAATCCCCAAAATATTATGTCCACCTTGGGCCATTTATTTGTTTATTTCAATCACAAATGTCTTGAATTTGTACTGGTTCTTGCTCATTAGCATTTTATGTGTTTATGCATTTTAATACAAATTATGAAATAAGGATTTTTTTTGTCCTTCATAATTTGTATATTAGGCAGAAATCCTTATATTCAATTGCCTTAGACAAGAATTTTTAAAATATATTTAAGGCACAGTTTTTAAATAATATATATTCTGTTTGAATTAAGTTTTCTAAAAATCAATTTCTTTTTTTCTTTGAAGCTCATGTCTTCAGGAATGCCACCAGAAAACTTTAAAACAACCAATGTTACTGATACAGAGGAAAAAGTGAAGTGCAACATTGATAAGGTAGAAATTACAGAATTGCCGGTGGAAAAGATGGAGAACATTGAAACTATGTCAAAAAGACAGCGAAAGAAACTAATAAAGCAGAAACAATGGGAAGAACAAAGAATCTTACGCAAGTATGATTTGCTTCTTATAAAAAGGATGTATTTTTTGATTAGGCACTTTTGGGCTGATTCATTTTATTGCTCCCCAGTTTCTTCCATGAAAAAGTTCAGAACTAAGCCTGAGGATTATATGAGGTCATCGTGGCCTTTTCTCTGCTTCCTTTATACAGGAGAGGAGTGAACAAATGTGTAATCTCTCTCATCCTGCCTGATGAAAGACTTCTAGGAAACTCTTATGACCTATCTGATTTCACACTGTAAAGCGGTCTCTTATTGGACAAATGAAATAATAGGATATATATAAATACCTACAAATCTTTTTGTTTTCTTCTGGCCCTCCTTTCTACATTTCAAACATGATTTGTTTCTTTATGACTCATTATTCATTATCTTTGAAACACCTATTCTGCTTGAGAGTCATATTCCAGCATCCAGCATTTAAAAGCACATGCTTTAGCAGATAAATCAACAATTATCTCTATCTTTAAAACAACAATATGGAAGAATATAATAATCAGATAATAGCCAACGTTGTACCAACTGAGTAATATTTGTTTCCATTTCAGACAAAAACGTAAAGAAAAACGCTTGAAAAGAAAAATGGAGCGCCAATCTCAGCTGGAATCAAACGGTGAAGGAAGTGTCAGGAAACATATGCGTAGGGATATTGTTCCTAGTGCACTTCGGCTTATAATAGACTGCAGTTTTGACAATTTAATGGAATTAAAGGTAAATGGAGATGATATTTAAGAAGCAATTCTAAGTGTCTTGATGGATGGATTATATTAAGTCATTTTCAACTCATTGCAATCATTTAGATTTTGTAGTTCTCCAAAATTCCCAAGATATAGGTAATCTACAGTTAATGATTGCAATTTCTGTTTGAAATTACAGTGATGCTTTAAGATGGCAGGGAAGCTTGTAAATTATTCCCACCACTTTTTCCCCCTAAGGAACTCTGCTGCAGAGCTCATGCTTTTTCAGTGTGAGGTCAGGCCTCAACCCTCCCTTCACCCAACCACACTTGCACCTTGCAGCAGCACCCTCTCCCCACCCTCAGGTACTTGGACCTTGCACCAGCATGTGCACTGTGCTTTGCACCAGCAACCTCTCTTCAGCTGCCACATGTTCACACCTTGCAACACACTCTTCCCAACCTACACGCAATCACAGAAGCTCTCCTCCCTACCCAACTTGCACTCACATCTTGCTACATCAGCCTATCCCAAGGCCGTGCACACTCATGCCTCGCAGCAGCACCCCATCCCCAGCTGCACTTTGCAGCAGCAGCAGCTCATCCCCATCCCATAAGCTTTTATTGCAGTACCCTTCCAACTTGCCTAACTCTGTAATACTCACTCTCCTTCCTGAAAGCCCCTGGGGACTTGAGACTTCCTGCCAGCTTCTACACTGGCTTTAGGGGAGGCTTGTTGCAATCGTGAGAATATGAGAATGAGATGTTCTTATTTAATGATCAATGACCCTCGCTTAACACTGATAATAAGGCCTGTAAGATTGCTGTCTCTAAGAGATGCAGTCATGTGACATTGCACTTTGTGACCACATTGCTTAGCAATGGAAATTAATATATGAACTGAAGTCATTCAAAATAATTTTTTGGAAATGTTAAAAACTTGAGAAGTTAATGTAGAATTAATGAATGAACAGGGTCAAAGAAGTAAGGTTTAACTTAGTAGAAAACGTAGGGTACGTTTTTGTGTGTATGTCTTTAAGTCAGCACTGATTCTTCACAATTACCTGGATTAATCCCTGCAGTTGCCTTAAGGTTTTTGGAAATGTCTTGCTCTTGCCCAGCTAGAACCCATGGTCTCTGTTTTCTAGCCTGATTCCTTAACCATGTCACCAAACTGGTTCTCATATGTTAGTGTTACTTGACAAACATTACCAATATTCTCAATAGATTTAGAAAAATCGGTGTAAATTATAAATTGCTTAAATAGTTTAATTTTAGAAATATTAATTTTCATTTTTACTTGCATACTTTTATTACATTTTACTAATAAATTGAATTTAAAATTAGACAAGTCCCAGAAAGAATTATGCATCAATATTATCATTTCGAAGCCATAACACACTTGGTCATGTATACAGCATTGCTGCCCAGACTTCTTTAATCAGGTTGTTGGCTTCATCTGGATGATTTTTAGAGTGATGAGCTAGTAAAAAGAAAGAGCGATAACTCAGAAAACCTCTATACTTTTAGTATGCTTTCTTCAGGTGCATGTTTTAGAAGTAATTTCTGTTGGTTAAAAGCTTCCTTTCTTTCTCTTTAGCGTCTCTCTGAAACTCTTGGTTAAAGCATTTTGTGGTGCTTTCTCTGAAGAACAGTATAAAAACAAATTGTATTATATACAGGATGTCAAGAAACTTCACAAGCAAATTCAGAGATGTTATGCAGAAAATCGTAAAGCACTTCATCCTGTTCAGGTATGTCAGTCTAAGTAACCTCCAAATATTCTTTTCTGATGACTTTCTTAATGTTATGCAATACATAACATAACATAACATAATGCTTATACTTGCATTTTTAGCATACATAAAAATAATTTAAAGATTTCTAGATATTGGTCTAGAAATGTGTCACAAATGTCCACATGTGTCTAAATATAGTTGCCATACCTATAGTGAGTTTACACATGCTGTGGATAATTTAAAGTACTGGTTGCCATGAGTTTTTTTTTCCTGCTATAAAATGTCTTAGGTAACAATGCACACATACATAGAAGAGGAGCAAGAAGTTATTAAGGAAACTATGTTAATGCATTAAGATAAGAAAAGGAATATAAAATCTGGCTAGCAATCCATTCAATATATCTCTCCATATCTTTCTACTGCTTGCAAGTTATCCTTGCAAACCTCCACCACATCCTTACACCAACTCAGACATTGCCTTTTGTTCTTTAAACATATCTCTGAGGTCCTTGTCAGCTACATCCAGCCACAACTTTCTGAGTCTTCTCCTTTCAAACTATTCATTCTTCCTTCATATATTTGTTTTTAGATTCCATCTTCATTCATTCCTCTTTGTGACAAGACATCTTCACATATTCACTAAACCATATCTAACCACTGTATGAACTTTAATATAGCAACTGTGCAGCAAGGCATAGCCTATATCTAGGCACAGAAATGATGTGACGCCTCCTACAAATATGCTGCAGATTTCATGGAAAAGGCATTCCCCTGAGAAGCTTGGTTTTTTTCCCCCCACCAAGTTGTACTTGACAACTTGTATTGCACGTGAGTTTAGTGAATGCCATGATGCTTATAAAAAACTTTATAAATTAATTCTTGGTAGGGATGTTCCATGGCAGAACCCAGCATACATATCTGTTGTCACGAGCATTGCATGTATGCTAAGTTTAACAGAGTAATAAAGTTTAATAAAGTTTTTACTATTCACACTGGTTTTCAGGTCCTCTTTCTTGGGGATCCCTTACAGATATAGCACATTTACTATAACATCAATTTTTCAATTCTCTTCCCTGTTGACAATGTTTATATGGTTCCTTACTTTTTATTTCATCTATAGTCTATCTAATTTTTGCCTCACATTATTTGGGTCTTTATGTAACACATCAGAATCACCTACAGTGTACCAAAAATACTTCTTTGAACTTCCAGCTCTTAAGTTATTATCCTGCTTGAGGTGAAGCTAAAATGTGTAAAATATGAAATGGAAAATAGTATTTGATTGTATAATCTTAAAAATTATCAATGAATGTTGCATACATTTTTATTCCCTAGTTTTACTTGTCCAGTCATGGAGGCCAGCTGAAGGACAACATGAATGAAACAGACAAAGGATGGATAAATTGGAAGGTGCTAGCAATTTAAGTATATAATTTTAATTATTACAATAAAAACAATCGATTTCTTAGAAATGCATGAATTTGACAGGGACTGTCTCAACATTATCAGTTGTCAGATTGCTGGATTTTGCCTTCAGTAAAACGAAATTATTGATACAAGTAGTCCTCAATTTACAACAGTTCATTTAGTAAACATTTGAAGTTACAATGGCACTGAAAATAGTGACTTATGACTGTTTTTCACATTTATGACCATTTCCAGCTTCCCTAAGATCATATGATCAAAATTCAAATGCTTAGCAACTGGCATGTATTGTGAGATTGCAATGTCCCCAAGGTCATGTCATCACCCTTTGAGACCACCTGACAGACCGTCAGTGATGAAATCAGATTCATTTAACAACCATGTTACTAACTTAACTGCAGTGATTCACAACAGCAGTGGCAAGATAGGTAATAAAATGTGGCAAAATGCACTTCACTGTCTTGCTTAGCCACAGAAATTTTGGGCTCAATTATGTTCATAAGTCAGACATTACCTATATTTTATGATGACTGAATGACTTACAAGTAAGTGCCTTCTTCCTTTTAGCTATAATCTTTCCAATATTCTATATATAGTATATATATTAATCTTTTCAGATAAATGATAAAACTGTAATACTGTTTCATTGCATTGTTAACCCTTTACTGATAGTTTCATAGTTTTCTTATGCAGGCATAGAATATATACTCAAACTAGTGAAAAATCTTTAGTTTTCAGATAATTTATTTGGATTTGTGTTTGTGTCTTGAAGGATATTCAAATTAAATCAGAGCATTATAGTGAGTTGGTGAAAAAGGAAGATCTTGTTTACCTTACTTCAGATTCTCCAGATGTCTTGAGTGAATTAGATGAATCAAAAGCCTATGTTATTGGAGGCTTGGTTGATCACAATCATCACAAGGTAGATGGTTAATATGTATTGTGCATGCATACTTGAAAAAAATCGTATTAACTAAAGTTAAAATTAATGGACAATTAAATGGGATTTTTATGAATGTAGTATTATATTCAGTTTGGAGAATTTGTGACTGTCCACATGTTGAACTACAGCTTACAACATCCTCAGTACTGATCATGGTGAGAGTCATTGGGACATACAGTATTGTTCTATATTTATACTCTGCACCATAGTTAGGGTAGACAAAGTCAAATGTAAAAATAAAAAACATAATTGGATAAGTTGGACTTTTATATATTATATATTTGACAGCTGTGAATAAATCTCATAGATGTTTTTGAAACTGATCTATGGGCTGACTATTCATTAGAATTAAACTACTTTAACTTATTCACCATATGCCAGCAGAGTTGGGGCCATTAGTGCTTCTGGGGAAGCGTAAACTTGGGGTTACCATCAAGGAAGCCTGTTGTCTAGAACACGTCCCGTGCACCTAATAAGTGATAGGCCTTCTTTTAGTTATAGGCAAAATAGATGGGCTCAGTTTTTTTTACATGCCCAATATATCCTGGAGCTGCATTAATAATTATAAAGAGATTCCAAAGCATTTTGAATTGGGCCTGGCCTGAAAACCTACAAATAACCAGTGTGAGTTCAAAATGGATGCTATCCAAACCTGTTAGGAGCCACTACATTATCTACTAGCTCTAGTTTCTTGACCATTTTCAAAGACTACCTTATATGGGGCACATTGCAGTAGGCCAACCAAATCAGAGCATGGGTTCCATGTATCAAGGGCATTTTTGTTCAAGTAGGATTACAGTGGCATGTCTGATGGGGTTGGGTGAAGGCTTTCTGACCATGGTTTCCACCCCTTTGTCCTGGAGGTAAAGCTTGAGGTCACAGCAAAGTCCTTCAGGGAATATAGTCCTATCCACTGTGCCTACCAGAATTATTAACAAACCAGCAGTTCCAGCTTGTTGGGATTTAAAATGAGATCGTTTTCCCCATCCAGATTCTCACAATTGCCAGGCACTCGGGAGTTCTATGGCATCTTTAATTAAAGCTGGGGTGGGCATGTCAGGAGCATATTAGTGATATCTTAGCCCAAACTTCCGAACAATCTCACTAGTGTTTTCATAAACCTTTAAATAATATGGAGGAGACCTCTGAATAGAATAAAATTCTTTATTGGCCAAGTGTGATTGGACACAAAAGGAATTTGCTTTTGGTGCATATGCTCTCAGTGTACATAAAAAGACAACCCTGAGCCACCTGCACTGACTTCTCAGGGGCTCAAGTGCTGATCTCTCCAAGATCACCAGCAGGAACTATTCACTCAAGTAAGAGGATCCATACCATTCCATATGTAGTAAGTGAAAATTCTGTAGATATTGTCACACTACAAATCTTTATTGCCGTAAGACAGCATATTGTCACAATGCATCTGTGCTCTGTAACTCAAATACAGGATATCAGCAGTGCATTCGTGCGATGAGTATTTCATCCAGTGCACATTCTGTTATTTTAATAATGCTTATTGTATTGCTAGCATTAAAAATAAATGCCAAAGGAATTTAATGTCTAATAAAAGTGTCTAATAAAACTGTTTATAGCATACGTAGGCATAAGTTTACAGGAAAATCTGTAGAACGTGTAAATACAGCAAGCTGTTGAATGGCTGGTATGTCTGTTATCATTTGTCACCATCTTACTGTTTCTTTAAAAAGCTTGTATAATTTTTATGGGTTTCTGATCTGCCTTCCAAGTCACAGTCTAGGGATAATATTTCTTTAGATTCACCAGCTGTTATTTGTTAATATGCACATTTTTGGAATATTATTGAAAATGTGAGTCCAATTTCTGGGGAAATGAGATGACAGCATAGAGTAGATTTGACAAACACAACAAATTTGTGCACAATTTAAGAAAAAAAGCCAGGATTTTAATTAATCTTTTGAGCTGTTTCTCTCGATATTGGCTCTGATAACTTGTTCAGTTAATAAAGAAACTTTATTTTGGTGAATACATAATCAGTTAATTGACTAACTTTGTATATAAGCCATGAAGATAAAAGTGAAGTTCTCAGCATTTTAAGTTAAATATAATAGCTTAATAATTGGTACCTTTTATAAATCAGTGCTCTATGATATGAAACATCTTTAAATCATGTTGTAAGGCTATATGTGTAATGCATATATTTTATTATGCAAAAGTAAAGTGAATTCAGGACAAATGCAATGTAAATTAATAACAAATAGACATTTTCTTTATTTTGCTTACAGGGAATTACATACAAAAGAGCGAAAGAACAAGGTATAAGCCATGCACAGCTCCCCCTAGGAAACTTTGTGAAAATGAACAGCAGGAAAGTTCTGGCAGTCAATCATGGTAAGAAAATATTTTATTTTTTTCCTTTATTTTTGAGTCTACATTTTGTAAATGAGCTATTTATGCTTTATAATGTCAGAAGCAATTACCATTTCTAGTTGTGATTTTTGCTAGATACTGAGTATTTTGACAAGCACTTAATTTCTCCAGCAGACAGTGTCTAGTTCTCAAAATTATGGAGAATGGTTATCTAATATTTGTGTATTATCAGTGTAATAGATTAAATATCCACTGTGTTATTACTGAGTTACTTAATAAATGAATGAATTTTATTCACATTTCAAATCTGTAGAGTTTTGACTGAACATATTTTCCTAGTTGCTCCTTCATGTTTAGTGCAACTGTTAGTAAACAATTCAAATCACAGTAAAGATAACTGGAACAAGGAAGCTATGAAGTATTCCCCAACCAGGAAAAAAGGCAGTACAACATACCAGAAAAAAGTTTTGATACTATAGATATTTTGCTGACAGAGTAGAAATCAGGAAAACGCTTGAAGCAGTTGTGATCTTATATTTATTTACATACTCATGGAAGTAGTTCAGTGGAAGGGCTTCCCTGTCCTCAGCTATCCATTAGCTATAGTGATCATAACGCAAACAGATCTCCAGAGTAACCTGTTTTCTCAATTCCCCCTAACACACAAGCTACAAGTTGTTAGATGTTTAAAAAAGGAATTGATTTTGATGAATCTTTTTTTTATTTGCAACCTAGATTAATTGCAGTATATCCCTTTTAGAACTATGTTTCCATCTTGCTTTTAAACATCAATTCTCTTTATAGATATATGATTTAATCTGTTTGTCATATTATAGAATTTAGGGAGAAAAACATAAAAAAAATAGTTACTTCTCCCTTAAGAACAATTGCATGCCGATTCCATTTCTATTTAATAATTATTAGTAACAATATATAAATTAAATAATATGTACAAAATAAGATTGTTTTGTGGTTACTGCAGAAGCTTCTAATAGTTTTATTACCTTTATTATTTAATGTTCGTATTAAGTATTTCCCTTTTTTCTCATAGTATTTGAAATCATCTTGGCATATCTGGAAAAGAAGAACTGGGAAGAAGCCTTTTTTACTATCTTGCCACAACGAAAAGGGGCCAAACTGCTGCATGAGGCAACCGAGGTGACAGTTGCCTCCCTGTGCAAGCAGCAAGAGTCAGGAATTATTCAAGATGAAGTCTCTGAAAAGAGCTAAATGTTAATGAAAATGCTACTCATGACACGAGAAAGAAAGCTTCCAACTTTGGAATTTATGAAATGCTATACCTTCTCTCTTGGTTTTAAGCACTAGATTTTTATTACCAAATTTAAGCTGTATATTTAGTCATAAAATATTTAATGGCATTTAAATATGCAAAAAGAATTGTTGAAGGAGTTTAGATTTCCAAAGATGCCAGTGTTTATTTTCCTCCTTAATCTTTTATTTAATAATTTGCTGGAGTCTATTTGTTTTTTATTCTGAACTTCACAGCAGAATTTTAATTGTAATACAGTCAACATTCACTTGGCTGAAACTCATGTTAAGTATATTTTCTTGTTTCTAATTTTCTTTGCTTCATGTTTGTAATATATGAGATCTTTCCTTAGTAAAGATAAGACATGACAAAATTCAACTGCAACTAGAATAGTAGATTAGGAAGTTGAAGAGTAATTTGCATGTCATTAAGGCTTTTTGTTTTAATCTAAATCTTCTTGATTCCTGTGCTTGTAGAAACAGGACAGAAATTTACATTTCAGCTTTGCTGATGCAACCCAACTACAGTTTACAAAGTACGCACACTTAGTGATTTCTGCAGTAAGAATGAAAATGAGGTCACATTGTCAGAAACATAACCGATACAGCAGCTTTTCATTACACTACTGAGATTGTCTATGCGTAAGGAGTTAGCGTTGTATGTCTTTCACCCCCAAGGCTCAGATATGAAGCAGCTAGACTTTAACAGCTTCTGTTGTGAATACAAGAACTACTGCAAATAAATACAAGAAGGGGCTCTGCCCCAATTTCACTGAAAGATGTTTTTTAATAGTTACAATTCTTTATTGCCAATATTAAAATTGTTGGACATCCAAAAAGGCATATTTCCTATGTGCTATAATGTTACATGGCATGATGGAAAAAAAAAAGTCTTTCTTCAAAGTTACTTAGTTTTCAGAAGTTCAAAATCACTATGAAATTCAGTTATATTCCAAAAGCTTGAAATGTTTTAGACAAATTAAGAAACTTTCATATGATTGAAGAAGTTAAGCAAATATTAAACTTAGAAACTAATTAGAATTAAGTTTGTTGTAGGGGTCATTTGAAAAAGCTGACCAAATAAATTGTGTGAATGGTGTAATTATGCTTTTAAACTTGAATTCCTTTTTGCTCATCTTATTCTATCTTATGTGAAATTTAAAATAACAAATGTGCTCTCTCTATATATATACACACACATACAAACAGATTGCCAGTAAATAGTATTCAAAGTTGATCAAAGTTGTTTAATCTGTTGAATTAATTCTTCCATGTAGTTGAACTGGTTCTACATATTTTAGTTATTTCACTGGTGAAATGACAAGGTTTATAAAACTAAATGTGCTGCTTGAATAATAGATTTTAGCAGAAAAATGTTACATATTATACTGGATTCCTTCAGTGTTTTTATTTTATTCATTTAATTCAAATGCAGCTTGGTATATATAAGCAAATCTAGATTCTAAAACCAAATAGCTTTCCTCTAGAAGCAATACGAAGGAAAGAAAGTGGAATGGAAATAGGGTATGCAAAACTTGTGCTTGGATGTACTATTTAAATCTTGAAAAAGCTATTTAAATCTAAATTGACTATCAGAAGGTTACCACAATTTTTGTATCATACAGGATAGGTTCCAATCTCAAAAAACTAGAAATTGGAAAACCATGAGTGATAGTCCTGTTTTAGGCATAAAAGGCAACTGAGTGACTTTGGACCAGCCATTCTTTCTCAAACCATGTCACAGGGCTGTTGTGGGAAAATAGGAGGAGGAAGAAATGTTAGGTTTGTTCACTGTCTTGAGTTATTTCTAAAGCTAATAAAGTGGGAAATAGAAAATATCAAGCTGGATGTTTTCTGGAAGAACAAGAATGAACATCTTTTCTAAAAAAAATTGGTGCTGAAAGTTTATTACCAATAAATTTATTTTGGTGCTCCAAAGAATTAGCAAAACGAGCCATTTTTCAATTTTATCTCTTTTCAGGTGTCATGTATTGTGTAGTTTTCTGTTTAAAACTTACCTTTATAGACATTAATGGTTGTCATAGATTAAATACTATAGAAACACTTTCTGTTTCTACCTTGTGAATAATTATTTGTCTCTTTCAGAATCAATTTTATTACATATTTCTGTCAATACTGTGAAAGGTTGCTGTCCTTTGCACCAACTAATCTCCAGTGACATTTTTAGTAGTTTCCTAGAATAAATTATATAAATACATGCCTGGGAATATTTGATAGCTGTTTGAAGACTTTTTATGAAGTGTTTGACTTGGATATATGACTGTTTAAAGTAGTCTATTTGACTCTTTCAGTAGACTGAGACATGCAGGATCCTGAAGACTGCAGACTCAGCTGTTAATGTCTGGAGAAAGTTTGGAGGAGACCCACAGCACTTTATTATAGTACAGTGAAACATAACCACCACACTAGAATAGACATGGGGTATAGCTCTCATTTCTATCTCGCAGCTTGTTTTGGTTCTGCTACTTTTGGTGGAGAACTAAAGTAAGCAAAGGAGCAGGTGTGCATGCATATTGGGTGGAAGGGGAACTGGAGGACACGGACATTAATTTTCTTCATGCATTCTAGGCTAGAATTCATAAATCACTGCGTTACTTGGGGCAGAAGTCTTTGATATCAGTTGGGACTAAATTTTTCCATTCCTCCATGCAGATTTTTTTTTTCAGTTGTATGATGTTTTGACTTTTCCATTCCAGACTTTTCTCTCCCCTTAGCTATTTTTTGTGAATATACTGGAACATTTAGGATCAATGTCATGTTTGTAAGGTCCACTTTTAATTGAGCTTCAGTCTTTTCACGTGATCTCATGTTATCTTGAAGTACTCTCTGGTACAATGAATTCATAGGGCATTTTATAATAGTGGGCTGCTGGGCCCTTATGCAGCAAAGCATCCCCAAAACGTTCGTTTGTATCCTGCCTTTGTTGTTTTTACAAATAAGGCAGCAAACATATCCAACACATCATCATCCTATTTTTTCCACAACAACAATCCAATGAGATGTGCAGGGCTGAGAGTGATGATTGGCTCCAAGGTCACCCAGCTGGCTTTCATGACTAAGGTGGGACTAGAACTTGCTGTCTCCCACTTTAGACTAGACTTAGAATAACTTTATTGTCACTTTGAATGTACAGTAATTGGCATACATTAAAATGAAATTTTGTTGCATAAAGCTCTCAAAGGGTCACCACCTCTAATAATATGCTACATAAACATGACTAAATACAAAATTATGCATGACTGCATATGCACATGCACACATTCTGAATTACTGGAGCCCCTGAAGACTGATTCTACTGGTTCGGACTGGTTCTATAGAACCGGTTCTTATGAGTATGCACAGTTTGGAGAACTGGTACATTGTGCCACTGGCTGGCCCCGCCCTTTCCTGCCTGCCCACTTGCCTCGCCCAGTCAATCCTCATCTCTCCTGCCATTCTTAACCTGCCTTAGCCTGCCATTGCTGCCTGCCTTCCACTGCAGCCCTGATCTCCCTCTGTGAGTGAGCCTACAAGCAAGCCCCGGTTGAGTCAACTCCTAGGCTGGCCTAGGTCACTGTGCTGTCTCGCCACCCACCCTTACCTGGCTTGCTTCACCATGACCTAGCTAGCTAGCTGCTCCCCCACCAAATGGTTGTGTCCATGCTGGCTGGAAGAGGAGGGAATGGTCTCCTCCCCCAGGCCAGGAAGAAGCCACGGGGCCATGTCTTTGCTGGCTGGGGGGAAAGGGGAATGTTCTGGCCAGGAAGAAGCCACGGGGCCAGGGCCATGCTGGCTGTGGAAGAAGGGAATGTTCCCTCCCCCCCAGCCAGCACGGACATGGCCCCACAGCTTCTTTCTGGCCAGGGGGAGGAGGAGAACATTCCTTCTCCCCCTGGCCAGGAAGAAGCTGCCACGGGGCCATGGGGGGGCCACCCCCCTGGTTGGGGGCCATCCCCCTGGGGCTGCTGTGGTTGGATCCAGCTGACGGAATGCCCCCCCTGGGGAACACCCTGCCATTGCTGCCCTGGTATGGTCTGCTGCCGCTGAGCTGCCCAAGGAAATTCCCCATCATCAGCGCAGTTCCAGGGCACACTGCCATCCCCGCTGCTCACCTTCCCCCCCCCCACCTTTTGCCACAACAGCTGCCACTACTGAAGCCACCCAAGAAAACTCCCCACTGCTGGGAAGTTTCAGGATGCACCACCGCCGCTTGCCTTCTCGGCAAGAGCCTTCCCATCAGCGCAAGAGACTCTGCAGCCCCTCTCACCGATGAAAACGACTGGAGTGCCACCCCCGCCACCACCACCCCAGGTATGGAGAGCCCCAGATCGGGACTCGGCACACAGGGCATTGCTGGAACTGAGGAGGCTGGCCTTTCCCTCTGCCACCAGCTGCAGAAGGAGGAAAGTTGGGCAAGGTAAAGCCAAACCCAGGCAGGACCTGCCAGCGGGGATGGGCAAGGCTGCAGGGCAAACCTGGCTGGAAGTTGTTTGTAAATCTTCCCAAAAGAGGGAGGGGAGGAAGTTCCACAGCTGTCCAGGATGATTTTATAATAAGAGAAGACCTGGGTATGTTTTTATTAGGCAGCCTTTCCTAACAAGACTGATTTTTGCTTGTATCACTGTTGGTCTCAATGAGTAACTTATCTGCCTTTTGGTGCTATGCAGTTAATCATGCATTACTTAAATAGTTTGTTAAGTCCCCGCCTTTTATGAGAGCAAGATAATTATGTTTATGACTTGCTAATATCACCCTCCTGAGTGGTCCATGATCCCTTTGGAGCACTTTCCATTTTGACAATTTAGGAAAGAAGTATTGACTTTTGGGTTTACCTGAATTAAATGCAGGTGTAGGAATCAGGGGAGGGCTAATTTGAAAAGAGCAGTGAAAGAGAAGCATGTCTCGGTACATAACAGAAAGGAAAGGAAAACATTGACACCACACCCAAAAATTAGGCCACGCCCACAGAACTGGTTGTTAAGCAATTTGAATCCCACCCCTGCTGAAGACAATGTGTCAAAATCAGTTTGAAGATTTTATTATTGGCTGCATAAAGCTTATTTTATATTCCAATATTGCACTGATACTCCTCTTACACAAATATGGATTGACAATGATGCTTTGGGATAAGAAGAGCTTAGCTAGAATTTGAAAGTAACAATTATTCTCCCGATCCCATGGTAACGCTTTTGCAGAAGCCATAATCCCTTTTGAGTATGAAGCTTCTGCAGTGTTATGTACAATCTGATTTAGTAAGAAGATTGTTCAAATTCTTTGTGTCCAAAAACAGTGCTATTGTTTTCATTCTCTCTCCTAAGCTACTTTTCATCTCCTAAAGATGTGCACAGCATACATCAAAATTCCATGTATCATTATGTGGAGAATCTTGATGTGGAGAATCCAGCCCCTCCAGAAAAAAAGTAGAGATGTTCAGGCCATATCTATATATTCCATTTTGGGATTGATGATATGCTATTAGGGGCAAATTGAAACCTATCATCTATTAAGATAGTTTTAAGATAGCACCAATATTCTTCCATAGAATTCTGGAAAGGAGAAATGAATAAGCATGCAATTGTTGACTTACTATTGTTGAAAATATAAAATCTAAAAAGTTAAAAGTTATCTTTAGATGAAGCAAAAGTTTTCTTGGTTTAGTAGAAAACCAAATTATCAATTTTAAATGGTCAAAACAGAAGGTAATTTAAGTTGTTAAATCCAGATTAGTGTCTTTCTTGGAGTTAATCCTCAGTGAAAGGTGCATTTTAAATCCTAAAAGTTATAAGTAAATGAATTACTTCATTTGTATTCTGACATAATAGAAATGTCAGTTAAGTCTTCTACAAACTTCAAACAGCAGATGTGAACTCTTACAAAGACGAATAAAATGTATTTAGAATTTTCATTACTGGTTCACTGTATTAATGTTCAAGATTTGGGCTTAGATCAGGAGGTCACTGTCAGAGATTTACCACATGCTACCTTCCAAGAAGATATCGTACTTGTTTTCAGAGACTCAGGACAGGGACAGGTGTGAAGAATTCCTCCTGAATTAAGTTTTTCTAAGGCGAGACTTGCGGTATAACAAATGGGTGCTGTTTTGGGTGGAGAAAGATTGACAGCCACTCGAATGTTTTGCAGAGCTGTTGGGAAGATCCTCTTCGTTTTCATCTATTTTCCCTGTCTTTGCAAATAAATTACTTTTTTCTGTATCTGAAAGAAATTTTCAGAAAACGCTAGTTTAAGAACTGGGGATTTCTCGTCTGCACGTATAGAATAGAATAGAATAGAATAACTCTTTATTGGCCAAGT